AACCCGGAGTGCGCCGCTTGGGAGCGTGGCGGCGCTCCCACCGAGGGTTCGGATCCCACATACAGACTGGTTCCCGCTCACTGGCTGAGCGAGGGGCGGGCGCAGCACCGAGGGTTGCGATCCTGTTGCCGGTCCCGGTCCGGTACGGGCACGACACTGAGGGTTGCGGTCCGTTGCCGGACATGAAAAAAAGACAAAAAGGAAAAAAAAAAAAAAAAAGAAAAAGTCTGATTTCATGTTTCAATTCTAATAAGCACGTTATACTCATCCTTACAACTCATTTAGAAATCTACAATAGGTGAAGCACAGAGCCTTGTCATAAGCTTTTTCACCTGGATAACGTTAAGGCATCAGGTTCTTAGCAACTCTCTCTTCTCTTTGCTTTTTTCTCTCAGATTTTCTCTCTAGAAATACATTCTTCGGTAACAGTCAGGAGATGGATGAGATAACAACTCAAATGAAGGTAGTTATCACTTTGCTGTTCCACTGTACAATACATATTAATTCAGAATGTCCCAACAGGGGCAAAGTAACCCATTTCTAACTCATCACTTCATCCTTATCAGAAAAATGTATGAACACAGGGAAAGACACGAGGCTCTACATTGGTTTTCTGATTCCTTTATTAAAAGAAGTTTCATTGACATCAATATTTTGAATTTTTTTCTTTGTTGGGACCATGGAGAATTTTCCCAAGGCAAGGCATCATGGTAAGATTTGGAGTGAAAGCCATGCCTTATTTTTGTTTTTTTGTATAAGGTGGAGAAAGTCATTTGTGCAGAGGTGGGAAAGAAGAACCAGCATGACACTTTGATCACAGGGATGTTCTTAGGCAAGTCAATTCTAAGAAAGAACACACATGAAGGTTAAAGATTCTGGAAATTGAGTTCCTTAAAAATCTTCATGCCCCCATATTCCTTGGAAATCTTTATGCACCCTCAGGTTATGTGTCCCCAGGGTGAAGACTGTTGACTTAGAGAATGTATTTAAACAGCCCAAGGAAGCTACATAATTAATCCAAGACAGATATCTTTCAGCCACGGGTAGGAGATCCACTGGAGGATTTCAAAACTTTAAGAGGTGGAGGCCCAACTATATAGGAGGATCCTGGACCCACGAATGACTGAATACAGCAAAGTTCTCTTGTCAGCCTATGTAGGTATAGGTAAGAAATAAAACTTTTGCTGGGTTAAGCCATTAAGCTTTTGGGATTGTTTGCTACAGCATTTATCCTCCCCTGATTAGAGTAGCTGATGGTACTGGATATATTTTCACCATTGCAGGCGTGACATGGCTTTGTAGCCAAGAACTGCAGTGTCCAGGTAGGGAAATAAATGGGATTCACAGCTAGTTCTCAGGAGATAAGGCAGTGCCAGGGAGGGCCAAGATGGGGCCAAATCAAAGAGAACAGACTGTAAGTTACAGCAACTACAGACTTCACAGGAGATGCCAGCAGAATTCCCAGGAATGGGGGCAGACAGCTACTCTCAGCTGATGCTGGATAACACACATCCATATCAGTTACAGCCTTCTCCCCTCCATACCATAAGTACACAGCCAAGTTCTCACATATCCAAAAGTCATTCTGGGGGGAGAAAGGAAACTCTAGAAGACCGAATGTTTATCTAAAGAGATTATCTAATTCACCCTTGATAGGGAATGGAATTGTCAACAGAAAAAACAGCCTGAAAGAAGATTGTTGGAATTGGAAGAGCCCAAGATATCATTAATTGGGAAAAGCCAAGATTTTCCATTCCCCAGAGTCTATAAAGATGCTCGGTTAGCCACTGAAAATAATTAATCTTGGGGGGTGGGGGTAGAAGGGAGCTTTCATGACTCTCCTGTTTTTCTTTTAATGTAGCCACGAAATGTAGCTCACATTAAAAATAGATGTGGAAAAATGTTTGTAAAATGTTCATATACTTCCATTCCCCAGAGTCTATAAAGATGCTCGGTTAGCCACTGAAAATAATTAATCTTGGGGGTGGGGGTAGAAGGGAGCTTTCATGACTCTCCTGTTTTTCTTTTAACGTAGCCACGAAATGTAGCTCACATTAAAAATAGATGTGGAAAAATGTTTGTAAAAGTGCATGTATATGAATAAAGCAGAATATTTCAGTGCTTTGTACTTCTGAAATTTCAGTAACGGGAAGGAGTGCATGATCTGTCCATGGGGACAGATTCTCTGGAGATGCGTTTCAATTCTAAATATCAAGGTACAGAGCAATGAGAAGATGCTTCAGTTTCTTTCTGCAAAACTACTTTCCTACTGACATTGTCAAATTGTTATGTGTGACGATATACTCTGACTGGAAGGCTAATTGATTAGCAGTTTTTACCAAGTTTACTGAAAAGAACAGAGCTTTAATTTCACTTGACAGATTATTAAATTGGGTTTTTATACTATTTGGTTAGTTCAAGCCAATTATTCTTTTGAGTCATAAATATACAACTGCCACATAATATATCTTTTAAGCAATAAAGTCCCAAGACTTAAAAAAAAATTGGAACTAGATTGTCCCAGTGAATAAACTACACAGCAGTAGCTGCCAAGGGCAGTTTTTGGAAGCCATATTAACTGTTTCAGGCCACTAGGATTCCATTCCTAGGGCCTGCTCTTTGAATTGTATTTCTAATGATGATGGTTTGTCACTTAGAAATTCATTCATACTTTCTCCCAGAGCTCCCCCTTGTGACTTGTGACCAGTGTTGAGGCAGTGGTTGTAATAATGAAAATGCATACTCTCGGGGAGGCCTTGAGATTCCCCCAGTTTCTATCAGGGGACCTTACTTAATTTTCATAATCATCTGCTATTTTCTACTTATGCGTTTCTTTACTGGATTATTGTCAGTTTTCCCTCATTAGAAAATAAGTGTTATGAAAACAGAGACCTCATTGTCTTGCTTACCCCAGTAACCTGTTTTAGAATAGCACTTGGTCCTTAATGGGAACCCAATAAACATTTATGTAATGAGTATACTTGTGAATGTTGATTATGGAGCTATTTTTCTTTATAAGAAGTTAGTGAAGGAAGATCAAATCTGTGATTTTTTTAACTACAGATAGTATCTTATTCTTAGTCATTATTTATCAGCTGCACTAACTACGCAACTATCAATGCAAAAGATGATTCCCAGAAATTATTAAATAGAATACCTAAAATAAACTCATTTGTATAGCAAAGGTATGTAGATTACTATTAAAGAGTAATTTATTTAGTACTTCTCAACATATCTTCTAGTCTGGTTCAAATGAGACTATAATTCAGATTTTCAATTTTTCACCCATTAAATTCAAGTTATATTTCATATCTTCTGGTTATTTAGAGTGTTGTATATTATTTTATGTCTTTGGTTTTTAATAAAGCCCATGAGTTTTAACAATATTAAAATCTCAATATATTCTTTTAAGCTTATCTATAAAATATTTTAAAATATCAAACTTAGTCATCATTTAGTAATTGAAAGTTTTAGGCTACCTTTTAATTATGTGCTTACTTATGAAAGTATGCTACTAACCAATATCTTTACTGTTTAAAGAAAGGTAATTTTTCTTCTCCTTTAGCTTGAGAAGTCAGACCTAATAAAAATGAATGTCACCCTAAATATTAATTTAGAGCCCAGAATCTGTGAGTTTTAAACTTAGAAATTAGTATTTTCCAAACCCTACCATTAGAAATGATTGAATTAGAAACACACAAGCAAGAAACCTTTTCAGAAGCCTTTTCCTTTTCCTCCCCTATACACCTATAGGATTTAAAATTTTGTTTTGCTTCCTCTTTTCTCTCTTTTAATAGAATGAATGTGAATGAGTATGAATAGGTACCAGATAAGTTCTGAAATTCCCCCCCAATTTTAGTAAAAACATATTCATGCATAAATTATTATTAATGTTGGTTTGAGAGTTTTCAATAGGGAGGTTCGTTTACAGTTCTTGTCTTTCTGAATAATAACCATCACATAAGTTCCCCCATTTTAAGAATGGATCACAGTTTGGGGAAATGAATAAATCAAAATCCAACTGATTTGGTTATAGATCAAAACCAGTAATCACTGTAAGAATAATTAAAATAGTGACACAATTCAAACTGTAATGGCATCTGGTCTGTAAAGAGAAGGAAAGAGCCTCCGTTATAGTCTTTACTCGTCCTCATGGCTGCGGTGTTCTCTGACTTCATCCTTATTGGTCATTCTTCTCAAGATCAGAAATAAGAATATTTTCTTCTAAATGTACTGCACTAAAGTTGGTCGTAGAATAGTAAGGATTCCCCAACCTTGCCAGTCTCCTGAAGAAGCTACTGTTCTGCTTGTACACATAGAAGGAAAGTGTGAAAGTGGCCAGAATTACTATCAGTGTCAGTGCCACTGCAAGAGGAACGATGCTGTGACTTGGTCCTGAAAGACAAAAAAAAAGAACACTTCAATGACCATGACGTCATTATGGATACTGTCACATAGTTGCTTTCTATTTTATTATTTCTAAGAAAAATCAATATGTTTTCTATTGTTCCAAGCCTACCTTTCACTGGATGCTCCTTTACAGTGTGAATATCTAAAATCAAATACAAAGAAAATTGAAATGAAGTTTTTCTTTTAATTCAGCAAAGTTATATCATTATTTATAGCAGTGATCAGCAAATGATGGCCTGTTGATCAAATCTGGTCGCCTTTTTTTATAGATAGTTTTATTGGAACTCAACCATACTCATTTGTTTATGTATTGTCGACAGCTGCTTTCGTGCTACAATGGCAGCGTGACAGAGACCATATGGCCCCCAAATCCTAAAATATTTACTATCTGGCCCTTTACTGATTCACAGTAATCATCATTATTAGTGTCATGAACACAAACACACTAACACACTGCCATTTTTTAAAAAAATTATACTTTTTTTTATTGAATCAAAATCTATTATACATATTTTGGGGGTTGAACATTGAGATATGTTGATTAAATCAATATTACTAGCATATATATTGTTACAAACCGTAATTATTCTTTATGCCCCTTGTCCAACCTCTTCCCTTCCCCCATTGCATCCCCCTGCCCCCTCTAATTGCCCTAGATTTCTTCTCTCCTTCTGAAAGAATAATGGTTACTCTGTTAACTTGTTGCCTAGATGATCTGTCCAATGCTGAGAGATGTGATCAGGTCCCCCAATATTATCATAGAGCAGATGCTTCTTCTGTCACTCTGAAATGAATTTTGTGGAAAGAGGCATCCTCTTCTTTTCTTTGTCTCTGCTGGTGACTCTTCTTGTGTGAATGCACTCCAGTGGTTGGCAGACCATCTGCTTGGTGACAGTGGCATCTAGCCACTTTTGCAGCAGCCGTGGTTATTGTGGTGACTGTGGTGGGCCACTCACGTGGAGGTGCTGTTTTTGGCATGCTCCTTGGCACTGGCAGTATGCCTGGTTGTGGGGTGTGTTTGGTCCCCTTCTCCATGCCTCTGGTCCCTGGGCAGTCCACAAGGCGCTGGCGCCATGTGCCTGGTTGTGGGAGAGGGGTCCATTCCCCTTCTCCATGACCCGGGTCCCTGGGTGGGACCCAAGGTACTGGCTCAGTGTGCCTGGTTGTGGGAGAGGGATCCAGTCCCCTTCTCCATGATCCGGGTCCCTAGGCAGGCCCCAAGGTACTGTCACAGTGTGCCTGGTTGTGGGAGGAGGATCAGGTCCCCTTCTCCATTCCTTGGGTACCCAGGTGAGCCCCAAGGTGCTGGCGTTTTGTGCCTGGTGTGGGAGGAGGGTCCAGTCCCCTTCTGCATGCCTCTGGGTCGGATGGGCCCCGAGGTGCTGGCATGGTGTCCTTGGTTGTGGGACAGAGGTCCAGTCCCCTTCTCCTAGCCTTGGGTCCCTGGGTGGGCCCCGAGGTACTGGCATTTTGTACCTGGTTGTGGGAGGGTGGTCTGTTCCCCTTCTCCATGCCCCGGGACCGTGGGCAGGCCCCAAAGTGCTGGCTTGGTGTGTCTGGTTGTGGGAGAGAGGTCCAGTCTCCTTCTCCACGCCTCAGGTCCCTGGGCAGGCCCTGAAGCACTGGTGCAGTGTGCCCGGTTGTGGGAGAGAGGTCCAGTCCCAGACTCCATACCTCGGGTCCCTGGGTGGGCCACAAGGTGCTGGCTCAGTGTGCCTGGTGGTGGGAGGGAGGCCTGTTCCACTTCTCCTTGCCTTGGGTCCCTGGGCAGGCCTTGAGGTGCTGTACATTGCCATTTTTTTTTAAGCTAAAGAATGTCAATTCAGTCTCAGCACTGTGCTGCAATAAAAATATGAGTGAAATACAGTTCCCGCATGAAAGGAACTCACAGTTTTGTTGTGATCTGATGTGGAGTTTGTCCAGCGATGATAACATGACTGCCTTTATGCAAAGATTTTAAAATCAGTGTGTTCTCAGCTTTGCAGTCTCAAGAGTCTTGGGAAAGGAATTATAGCTCCTCCATTCAAAAAGCTAGAGCGTTCCTGTTTTAGGACTTTCTACTGCAATATAGCTCTTTCAAGTAGACTCTATCTCGGGGGCCGGCCCGGTGGCGCATTGCTACAGTGCGCCGCTTGGGAGCGCGGCGGCACTCCCACTGAGGGTTCGGATCCCACATACAGACCGGTTCCCGCTCACTGGCTGAGTGAGGGGCGGGCGCAGCACCGAGGGTTGCAATCCCGTTGCCGGTCCCGGTCCGGTACGGGCGCGACACTGAGGGTTGTGGTCCGTTGCCGGACAAGAAAAAAGACAAAAAAAAAAGGAAAAAAAAAAATTTGAACTCTGTTATTTTTGATCTAGGTAAAGATCCAGAGAAAGATGTAGAGAATGACCCAGAGGAAAATGAGTGAATGGATTTGCGAATGGAGGAAGTGCCTTGGTGCTCTACTTACACTCATTCACTCTGGTACACTTAAATGAAATATCAATCTTGTTACCAATCGCAAAACAACATTAAAAAAAACAACTTGTTTTCGTAATTTAAAAATAATGTCATATAACTTTGCATTAAACTATTAAAAACATGCATTATTTGTGTGTGGATAAAAATATTTTAAAAAGAAAGACTGTTAGAAGAGTATTCTCAAGATAGAGGCAGTCGGGGGTAGCGAAGGAACACTTAGAAAATTTGGAGGGCAGTCCTTGATGTAGCCTCAGTGTGGACATGCACTTTGCTCATGTGCAAAATGGAAATGTTTTAACTGTTTCAGAACCATGGAAAGTTGTTGGGAATGATGCAAGACGTGTCATGTATTATAGGAAACTTCAGAGTCCTGTTTCCAATTTGTTCTTGATAGTTAAATGCTAGTGATAACTTGGCATACTATTTATTAGGCTTGGGCATGTTTTCTACACAGACTTTATACTCACTCTATTGGGGTTTTCAACATTGGTGCCCACACCTACAGTTTTTCTCTTTCCTTCCCAGTGTCTAATCAGTTCCAAGGTCTGATAATTCCCTCTTCCTGTTTCTCTCCTTCTCTTTTGTTCCTAGTTCTATTACTCAAATTACAGATGCTGCTCTTTATACCCAGATGAGTGCCACCCCACTGTAGGTGTCCACAGAGCACACCAGGGTCCCTGTTTCCTTCACCATGAATTCCAGTGCTTTAGCCTGACGCTTTTTGTGAATGGATCCTACATTACTGTCCATTTATTCCCATCACCCCCTAACACGAGTCCTTTGCTCCAGGATAAGCTCATTCTCAATTGCTGCTTTTCATGCAAAATGCCTTTCCGCTTCTGTTCCACCTCCTAAAATTCTCTTCATACTTTGAGGTCGCAAAGCCTCATCTCTCTGAAGCCTTCTCTAGTAGCACAGGCTTCCCCCTCCTTCTTATAATACTGGCTTCTAGAGACTGTTGTGATTATTAAACACATTTCCACTGTCAATGATCCTCCTGAATATTCTACCTTAGAAATCTCTGCTATTGTTTGCACCTGACTAGAATTTTCTGGCTTAGAGTTCTAAAAATTTTTTATCAGTAAAAACTAAATATGTTACTCAGGATGAAGTTAAAATATGACTTTTATGACATGTTATACTTACAAGAGAGAATACTTGTCTACAACAAACATATCTAGGCCTATATTATATTTCCAGAGCCAGAGATAAATCTCAAAAATTATGAGTAGCAGTTACCAGAATGAAAGTTGCTGGTTTACATTCTTAGTTCTCTTTGCTTAAGGTAAATTCCTTTTTCCCATTAGGTTAACAGCCAGAGTGACACAAGAATGTCATAAAGTCTTTGAGTTGATCTGTGAGTTTTTTCTTCATATTGGAGAAAGAAGGAGCTAAAATGTTTGCTGTTTTGTTTGACAGATGATAATGTCAGAATCTATCTGAATATTCTCTAAATACTTGGGTTTTAAAACATTTGAGTGCTAAAGAGGTGGGTCAACATTAGTCAGGGTACAATCATAATGAAGAATTACTCTCTGACTTTACCCACCTGTCTCCATTTTACATACAAATCCCTTTTTTTCTTGACATGGGGACAGCTGCCACACTCCTTCAGGGATCCTCAGGGCAACACACTGGTGGGGCTTGAGGTGGCCCATGTCTGGCTCCCGAATGCCCCAGTTTGACTGGTCTGCAGGAGTTCCATCAAACCACCTTATGGTTTCACCTGCGGAAAAATTGCTGATTTATTGTGAATTATGCACATGGTTAGCAAACATACCAAGATTTGAATGAACCATAAAAAGCAGCCCCTACATGTAATGAGACTGTCTCCTTATCTGATGCATTCAACTCAGTAAGTACAGTCATGAACTCAACATCAAAAGGTAGGTATTAATAAGTTGCCTTGGGGACAACTCTATTTTAGATATATTTTTCTAATTTGGTTCATTTACGATATCATTTTTCTTAATGTAACTGTGAATTTTGAAATATTCCATATCATTTATAATCAATTTAAAGAAATCATTTTCTTTAGAAAAGAAAAATCTTCTGCAGTCCTAACATCTATATCATTACAAAACAACACACTTTCTAAAAGAATTTTACACTGTACCAATGGGGAAGGGGCTGTGCAAGAGTCCATTCCGTGTGTAGGTGAAGGGGGGTGCACTGTCTGAAAATAATTTAAAACTAACAATAACACTAACTAAAAGTTGGTCTGCTTTTATTATTACTATCTGCTAGAAATTCTAAACAATGACAGTGATTAAACTACTCCTCACAAGGGTAGGCTCACCGCCCACTTTGGTATACCACTGTAACAAGTTCTCCATACCAATTAAAATAATTTTCTTTACAAGTACCTTGCAATAACCATCAAGTGTATAAAGCAAAGAATACCATGTTTCCATTTTATTACAAACTCTGGTTTTTATGAACAGCAAATAAGAATTCTAAGAGCACAATTTATCACTGAAACATTTCCATAATTCTATTGTGCTTTTATAACATTTAGGAACCTGGGGCATTTCTAGGTAAATATGGTTTTGGTAGCTACATGAGCAGGTCTGTGGACACAAATCCAGCCAAGCATCTTCACAATAAGTATAAAGATACACTTGTTCTTTGTTTTATTTTTGGTATTCTGGGTTTATTTCAAAGGACAAGAGGGTATAGAAAAGGGTAGCAGTGCTGTTTTTGGAAGAAATGGCTTTAGGATTCATGCTATTTTTTCACAGCAAATGTATCCAAGGAGAGTTTTCTGGCTCACAGATGCCAATATCATCAGCCTTAACAACTGTGTATTTATTTATGCCCAATCCTCTTCTCAACCCAAATCACTTACTGTTGCTATCAAATTGAGCATTCAACCAAACCATCTGGACAGAAGAACCAAAGGCAGAAAGCTCTTCTAGGAGAAATGAATTTTCAGCCTCATCCTTGATTGTTAAAAGATTAGATCCTATAAAAAAGATAAGAAGCAAATGAACTAGTATTTGTGTTTACACATAAATATAATTTTAAAAATGTCTCATACCACTGTTTGTAAAGCTCAGGATTTGCAAAGTAAAAATGTCCATTGTAAATAAGTGATTTTTGATTAAAAATTTTAGAGTAACACCACACTTATTAAAAAATACAAGCTTGCACTTAAAAAGTTAAAGCATAGAATATTAATTTTAGGAAACATTAAAATTCGTAATGCAAATGCATTCAAAAGGAGCACTTTCTTGAGAAAGTGCAGTATGCTATCACAAGTAAGACATCACCTTGGGTTTTCAAATTCTGCACTGGACATTGAGTTTCATATATTACCTGTCCCCCAAATAAGCAAATTCAGTAGTATTTTTTAAAATAGTTTTTGTTGCTCCTAAAGTTACTAAATAATCAGATAAATGAAGAAAACCATATTGTTTACCGAAATGTCAAGAAGGAACACATAAAAGCATTTTACCATCACAAAAGAATTACCTTCCTTTTTGCAAAATTCATGAGCAGCCTCAAAACTTGTACTGTCTAGGACTGTAGAAAAACTGTAGCAATTATTTTTAAATTTTATCCAGGGAATGGATGTCTCTGAGCACAGCTCTGAGTGTTCAAATGGTTTTGTTTCTATAAAGAAAAACCGGTTATGATTTCAGAGTGGTTACTGGGTATATTTACTGAGATAAATATTACATTACATTCTATGAGAGACCAAAATAAATATATGGGGCAAGATTTTCACAGTGATACCCTGAAAGATTTGGTTTAATGTAAATGATTGCAAAACGAGGACCAGTTTACAGCATTTCTGGCAGAAATAATCTTTACCTAAACATAACAGGTATAATAATGTATAGCTTCACAGGCTTAGTTTGTGTGCTGCCTGGGTGAGGATGACTGTCTTTCATGTTTACGATTAGTATCCTAAAGGCTGGAACAACGGGCGGATGTGATTCATAGAAATAGCGACAGCTGAACGACACTAACAAAAGGGATTCCCAAGTGTACAAAATGTGTTCCATGCAGTGCTGAGTATCACAAATTTTAAAAGTTATTACCCGCTAATAAACCTAGGAGAGAAAATAATACATCCAGGTAGGTATCGTAACATACCATAATGTAAAATGAATAAGGGAAATTCGAGGGGGACTTTACTTCAGAGAGCAAGCATGAGAGTGGGACACATCCATGCTGAGATCCTGGCTCTGCCCCTTACCAGCTGTGTGGCCATGGGCACGTTACCCTGTAGTTTGGTTGCTTTATCTATAAAAGGGAGCTAACAACAATATCTTTCCTATAAGTTGATAAGTTTACATGAGTTACTGCCCAACACTCCCTATACCCTCAATAAAAGCATTGTTGTCAAAAAGGGAAGGACAGATTTTATGGTGTTCTAGAAGCAGAATTGTTTTCCAATATATAAATATATATATAGGGCTATCATGTACACTTAGTTCTGAATTGTTTTGATCTAAGGTTACGTAATGTGTATGCTGCTTGAATATAGTACCCAGAATGTAAGCAAATACATGTGCTTTTACTAAATGAGAGATTTAAAAGGAGATCAGCTAGTGTCAGGGAACTCTCTTTATGCACAGCACAGCAATAAAGGGAGAGTGGCCCTGGTGTAATGGGATAAACATCACATCAGAGAGTGAAGAAACTCAGCTTCTACTCCTGGTACTGTTGACAGACAGCTGTGAGTTCCTCAGGAAACTATTTAATGATCTGACTTTAAGTTTTACCATTATTAAAGGGCTTGGGCCAAGTGAACATTAAGTATAAATGAGGTATTAGGCAAAGTGCAGAAAAGACATACAATCCAAACAGTGTCAGCTATCATCATCATCATCATCATAGCTCTAGAATCCTTAGTCTTTGATTTAAATATAAATCCTCAGTCAAGGTCCTCTGCACACACTCTTTTTTTGTTTGTTTGTTTTTTTGTCCTTTTTGAGACCGGCCGCACCGCGCTCAGCCAGTGAGTGCACCGGCCATCCGTATATAGGATCCGAACCCGCGGCGGGAGCGCTGGCCCCAGCGCCGCACTCTCCCGAGTGCGCCACGGGCTCGGCCCCTCTGCACACACTCTTAACACACGTTTCTAGTCTGATTTCCCACCTTCCCCTAACCCCTAAACTGTGAGGCAGGTGACTCTCAGCACCAGCCTTGCCTTACACATGCCCAGTCCTGTCTTCTTTCTGTGGCTTTGTCCAAGCTTTTCTCCTCAGAATGCCTCTCCATGTCCTATCATTGCCCATTTACATCCTACTAGTCTGTTAAGGCTCCTCTTCACTGTCATGTCCTTCAAAAATTCTTTCTACTTTTCTCCAAATGGATGATGCATCCATTTTCTCGCCGACCCCTACCACGTTTGCTACCTCTCTGACATCATTTGGTGGCCCTGCTTGGTAAAATTATTTGTCTTTACATCACCCACCAGACCAGAGGCTCCTTGAGGCCAGAGGCTTCCTAATGCTCGTCCTCATATCCCCTGCTTAGCATAGTGCCTGGATACAGTAGGTGCACGGGATGTATTTCTTGAGTGGAGTAGAAATGAACCTACCAGTGGGCACATGACAAATGGCGCCTTGCAGAAATGACTCACAGTCGGTGCTATGCCAGCGTCCACTGGTGTCGGCAAAAACACAGTCACCGAGGAAGGATGACTCCTCATCTTTCCAAAAAGTGAAAGAGGATTTGGTGCCATCTGACCAGTCAAAATTAAGACCATTCTATGGAGGGAAAATGAGTCAGCATTTCCTTGCCAAGACTTCTAGTGGCGTCACCCAATGCTCCCTGAGCATCCCACACCTCCCACTTGATTTATATTCCACACATTTTTTCAGAGTTAGGACAGCTTGTGAGTACAGCCTGACACAAAGCAATATCTGCCACAAACCATATCTTTATTGGTTTTTAGGAATTCTTGGCTCCCCGCCACCATAATCTCCTGGTAAGTAGAACTAGGGGTTGGGACAGAATAGAATTTACTTTTCATTACTTTGAGTATGTAATACTTTTATTTAAGGATAAAACTAAAAGCCTGGCTGGTTAGCTTAGTTGGTTAGAACATGGTGCTAATAACAAAAAGACCCAGGGTTTGATCAGTGTATTAGCCAGCAAAAAAAAAAAAAAAAGAACAGAAAAAAAAGAAAAGAAAAAATCTAAAAGATAAATCTTATTCTTCAAACCACATCCTTGCAAAGAAAAAAATGTGTTAAATTTCAAGGAGTACTGAATTAATTAATAATCAAATTTCTAGGCAGGAACAATGATTCATTTCTGGGGAGGCGATTCCTTAAATCCAATAAATTACCCAAATGCAGTGCTTGAGTTTAAGATGTGTTCCAGTACACACATGAGACAGGATCTAGGAGTAGGGGTACTTGGAAATTTTCAGAGAACCTTTGACGGGCATTGATTAATTAGGCAAGTGGACATTTACCCTAAAAAGGTGTACACCCTTATTTTGTAGTCATAGGCTGCTCATAAGGTTGGTCAGTAGTCATAGTATAAACCAGTTATTTATATGTTACACTTACTATTATTTCTGAGAAAAGTTTTTCTGTTCTAATTTCAGCGGCTATATCACTAAGGAGGTAGATGTGAAACTTAATTACGCAAGAATATTCCAAGGGATTTAGGACACCTACATCTGTGGTGAACAGTCCAATCCAGTGAGCGTGTCCAAGCCGGCTGAGGATAACAGTGAGGAAGGACTGCTGATACTGGTCTGTAATGCTGACCAGTTCTGCTCCATGCTTCAGGCAGATTTTTATTGCTGTATACCAATTCATGTTGGCATTAATTATTTTGTAAGTTCTGTTTCCATATTCTAAGATATTGGGGATTGGATACATATCAGATGTATTTACATCGTGTCCAGAAGTATCTAGAACAAGAACAACAAAAATCATTTGTAGCATGGGATGAGAAAGGAGGAGGCAAAGCTTAGCATGGATCCCTGTCACCATGGTCCATATTGATCAGTTTTTCTTCCGAATTGACTATTTCAAAATGAGGACACTACTTGAAAGTGTAGGTAATGCCAAAGAATTAGAACACTTAGGAAATTTAATGAATGGGTTTTTTTAAAACATAAACAGATTGAGCCTTTTGTAGAAGATTTCTCATGTTTGATCATCCCTTGTCAAACTGAGGTCTTTTTGGTGGAACTGATGGTGATCTCTTTAGGTAGGTTTCATTTCACTAGCTACAAGGGGCCTAACACACTGTGCTGGCAGAACTTAACACTTATTAATAGAACATTGACACATATTATGAAGTCATATACTGCATTGCAAACCTAATTTTACAAGTGCATATTCTCAGACAAAACACTTGATTATACATTTGATATATGTATGATAGTCATTATCATGTTTAATGTTTACCTGTTTAAATTCTAAAATGAATTTTTTTTTCCTTTTTGTCTTTTTTTGTGTCCGGCAACGGATCGCAACCCTCAGTGTCGCGCCCGTACCGGGCCGGGACCAGCAACGGGATCGCAACCCTCAGTGTTGCTCCCACACCTCGCTCAGCCAGTGAGCGGGAACTGGTCTGTATGTGGGATCCGAACCCTTGGCGGGAGCGCCACCGCGCTCCCAAGCGGCGCACTATAGCAGTGCGCCACCGGGCCGGCCCCTAAAATGAATTTTTTAAAAATTAAGTTAATGCTTAGAAATACATACAGTTCTTATAAACAATTACTATTAATATGTCACCTGTCAGCAACAAGATTTACAAATTAAAAGGCAAGGTTTTCCCACACATGATCATTAGTGCTTGCATGTTCATGAGCAGCTATGATCATGTGAAAACTAAGTGCATGTTTTATAGACAGATATTTCCTCTTTAAAATGTGCATTTACCTTTTTGGTCTATATTATGTTATGTACTAGAATAGGCTAAATTTAGAAAACCTAAAACATACAAAAAGGTAAGAGTTTCTGCACTATCTGATCCAAAGTGACTTGAATTCCTCTCTGTGTACTGGCTTTATTACATTTAGGGTAGGAAAGGAGCATGGTGACGGGGGACAGGTCAGAAGACCTGGGACTTAATCCCATTCCTGGCCCTACTGGCTAAGAGATCTTGGGCAAATTAACCTTTCTAAGACCTCAAATTTCTGGTCTATAGGAGATTAACAGGATCTCCCTTGGAGGGTGTGGCTAGAATTCAATGAGATATCCACAAAGGGCACATACTGTCCTACTTGGGACATAGCAAGCACTCAATAAATGTTGCTTTTTGCTCCCCTCTCCTCCTCTGGTCACAGTCCCCCCAATAAAAATGGCAAAGTGGGAAAATGACTTTTATCTACAACTGTTACTCAATATAGCAGTAGTACATATTATAAAACCAAAGTGAAGTGAATCTATTTGCCAGCTAAATTGTGATGGATTGCACTTTTATCATCCACCGATTCTTTGCTAGACGTCTGTTTACTAGTCTATGGTTATTTATACAAAATCAATATAATACCAAAGTAGCTATTTAAAAATAACAATTAGCAAAATCAAAGTAACTAAAATTTTTTGTATATGTAACCCAAATACCAATTTGACTGTTTTTCCCCCACTGAGTTATAGATCCATATTTTTACATATATGAATTTCTTCCTGTGTAATTAATTCCATCAAGTTTTGAAACATAAGTGATTTTGAGCAACACAATTTTGCCACCTCCTTCCCCCAAAAAGAAGATCTATTGGAAACCAAATTCAAACTGGGAGTCTTGACTTTGTCTTTGTCTCTCTTTTTATTCAGATTTCTGTATTTTTTTTTTCCTTTTTGTCTTTTTTCGTGACCGGCAACGGATCGCAACCCTCAGTGTCGTGCCCGTACCAGACCAGAACCGGCAACGGGATCGCAACCCTCGGTGTTGCTCCCGCACCTTGCTCAGCCAGTGAGTGGCTGGTCTGTATGTGGGATCCGAACCCTCGGCGGGAGCACAGCCGCGCTCCCAAGCGGCGCACTGTAGCAGTGCGCCACCGGGCCGGCCCTCAGATTTCTGTATTTTTTTAGGCAGATAAGAGACTTTAAGCTCAAGGCCAATGTAAGCACGTATTTATCTGACAAATAAAGAAGAGGAGCAGAACTTGGGTATTCATGGTAGGCTACAAGAATCTGTGCAGTTGAATAAAACTTTTCAGAAATAATAATAATAATAATAATAATGAAAACCTCTATCATTTGTTCAACATGTGGTGGGAACTATGCTTAACATTATTTATACACAAAGCATGTGAGATAGTTATTACTTCATTTTACAGATGCAGATTCAAGGTTCATAGATGATAAGTAACTTGACTGAAGTTTATTTATGGAAGTAGGGTGGGAACGCATGTGGGGTGGGCACTCCAGTACCTATGCTCTCAATCACCACTATTCTATACTGTCTGCAAAAGAACATCTGCATTGTTTATCCTAAAAATAAAAAAGAGAGAAAGTGATCAGAGGGTAAATTTCAGGAAGAGACCAACATTAAGGAAATAGAATAGAATCATTGTATTTAACTGAAAGATCTTGAGTGTGTAACTTATTTTTCTACCTCTCAAGTTCTTCATCTCTAAAATGGGGAAACTTTTACTGAATTCAAAGAATTGTCTTGAGGATTTTGTGGCACAGTTTGTAAACCCAAGGGACAGTGCCAGGTATATCATAAGTGTGCAAGTACATGGTATATTGATATAATTTTTTCCCTACAAGGCTCTAATCTTCTCATGTTACTCTTGTTAGTACAGATCTAGTATCTCCTTTCAGTTCTTGACCTCTATTATGCTTACATGATAACTGAGAAACAGAAACGGAATTTCCCTGGAATGGTTTTTCTGGGTGGGTTCATTCTTAGTATTACTAAAGAATTCACATGTATGCAACACTAAGGAGTAAAATTCATATTGCAAATAAGCATATGTGAGTATATACTAGGCTGCTCAGAGTTCCACACTACTCCAGACATTAACAATGGCCTTCTAGGGTGGTGCAGTACAGGGATACCCAGCACTCAGTAAAAGCATGAAGTGGTGTTATTTTCATTTTTATTTCTCAGGGTCACTTATGGTGCATTCCTACTGCTCATTGACCCCAATGGCTATCTGTAATAGTATGACTTTGGTATTCTGCACCAGAAACCACTGTGGGTTCTTCCTTCAGATCTAGGAACACACTGCATAATATAGTTAGCCACAGAGAAGATTTTTAGGGTTCCAAGAAAGGAGTAAGAATGAGTTGGTTTATTTCCCTGATTCTTTTCCAGCATGTTCTCAGTGGCTTTCTTTTTTAATTGCCTAAACAGACACATAATCCCAGAACAAAGCACTAAAGCCATTCAATATGACCAAAATGGATGCATAAACTTGATCATCACTCAAGTGACCTCTGCAGTCCTTAGAACCCCACTAAAGGGCATAATCCTACAGTAGTAGAAATTAAATGACTGAATATATGTACAGCCAAAGAATAAGTGCCTGACACTGTTAGCTGTGAAACTGTTATCTCTACAGCTGTGTAAAACAAATATGGAAGAGAATGATCGACCATGGAAATGAAAGAAATAAAATAACAAATATTTCTTACCCTGAATTTTTTCACAAACAAACCCATAGCCTTCTTTTCCACAGTCTTCAAAATACCATTTTCCAGTGAAATGAAAATTAGGATTACTTGACAGCAATGCACAAAGAGAAACGTGTTTTTGAACTTCAGTGGTGTTATGACTTGGAATCTTTAAAAGAAAACATGTTATCAAAAATATGATAACCACATTATTATAACATTGAAATTATTATTAAGGAAATAATTTTTAAAATTAAAACACTATTATTCCTTTATTTGAATTTAATAAACCAGCTCATAAATCTTTCATAACCTACAAAATAAACAATTATTGTGATGAATAAAACAATTATATTTATGGAACACATGAAAATTATATAAAATTACATTATTAAAATTAATATCTTAATAACAAACTAATACAAATTTATACCTACAAAATATAGAAAGTGAAAAAGAAAACCTTTAGTAACAAGTCATGAACAGTATCCCTTGCTAAAATGATTTCTAAAAAATAAATCTTAAAACTTACATTTATTACATCAAATGGAGACCAGTTAGAATATGCCACAGGCTTTCCGTTTAGCCATTTTTCATAATTGCCATTTTGTAATCCTATCCACACATTAGTGGTCTGGCCAAAAAGATTCATAGTAATGAAAGCTGAAAAACAGGAATACATTATCTAATCTAATACTGTAGGAACCATTGGGTAATCATTGAATTCTGTTTATAGCTATGATTATATTTAACTGACAGCAAACCTTAATAATGGATCGATTGTAGGAATTTGTTACTTTGTCGTTAAGATAATACAGTTTCTTTCACTTTTGTTTCAGTTTAAATTGACAGAAATTAGCTGGATGTGGTTTCATCATATCATTAACAAAACAATTTCCAGTATTCACTCAATGCTTTTCTAAACAAAAGAGGATTTATCTACTATATTTAAACTAAAATATACCATTGCCTAAATATGAAATAAAAGTGTATAGGTAAATCTAAAGGTATCTAAAAAATCATACCATGCAATTATAATAGACGATACCTGAGATTATTTTAGCTACTTTGAAATACAGATCATAAATACGTCCTTATTCTATCCACTGTTATTGGTGAGACAAAAGACTCTAAAACTCAGCAGTTGATGAGCGATGCAGTATTACTAAGTTCTACAGATGTCATGACATAAAACCTTAGAGGTCAAACTGAAAGCTTATGTCATCAGCAATATAGTATTTTAAATGCTGGATATGTTAGTATTTGGGGGAATAATTTAATAAATACTTGAATAAAAATGGCTATTTTGGTCGGGTTGAACACGGAGTACTCTACCTTGCTCCACTTCACTTTCAATGGCGACCAGCGTCCCTCCTTCTTCAACACAGAAATCTCGAGCATGTGTCCAGTTCTTCCCATTGCTTGGGTTTTTGGGGATATTCACCAAAAGGCACTATCAAAAAATGTCAAAACAAAGTGTTCGTTTCCATATTTTTCTAAATGGATTGAAAATTTCCCAAAGACACTGAGGATCAGCCTGGAAAATTATTTTTTATTGGTTATGGATATTCATGAGATACAAAGCTGATTGTCACCCCTCGTCCCCATGATGTGGGAGCCAGATTCATACTGGCAGCATACCCATTACCACAAATTGCATTTGTACCCTGTGTCCCCGACCCAATTATCCCCAACCGCCCTCCCCCTTCCCCCCCCACTCCACTTTGTAGCCCATACAATGTTCTCTCTGCAAGTCTGGAAAATTCCTTATAATTTCCTTGGACAGAAAGAACTCATTTTCCTTATAACTGCTCCAAAGGTGTGAAAGTGAAACAAAGAGGAGCTGCTTTCAGGGTGAGTCAGCAACTTGCCTACATTTTCGTCAGGCAGGAACAGAAGCAAGGATGTGTTTTGTCATGTGGGATATCAAAACAACTCTTCTGCTCCATGAGAAATAGTATTCTCCTAAAAAGGAGCCAGCCTGATTGCTAAGTTTACAGCGGCAGATTTAATCTAAAAAAGAATTCTGGGGGTGGCAACAAGCAGCTTAGTTCAATTTTATTTACAAACACACTTCCTCACTTTAAGTGACAGAGAAATACTGAGGAATCAAACCACAGCAGGTATTCATGGAACACTTGGAGTCAACCATTTGGTCAGTAAGTCCTTAAGGAAGAACCAGAAAAGAAAAAGTGAGCCCAGTGGGAGGAGAAGCAAGAGCAGGACCATGGAAACCTAGGAAGGAGAAACCAAGGGGAAGGTCAGCCATCATTGCTAAATGGAACACAAAAAGAAAGGCTATGGGACTGGCAATGACAGCTGATTGCTACTCAAGAGACAACTGTGTCTGTATTGTGGCAGAGGTTTCTTTATAAGATGGGATAAGAAATGGAATGATACTTACTAGACAGGACAGTTGTGTTGAAGATAAGCTTTTTACCCCCCCTAAAACTCAATGAAATTTAAACATGTTTATAGGACCAGATGGAGTTAGGTGAGAGGAAAAGAAAGAAGAGAGAGGTTATAATGAATCAGGCAAAGTCAGAGAAGTCAGGAGAGGTTTTATGCAAATAATATTCCATCTAGAATTTGCTGGGTTTCCTCTCTCATGGTCAATTTTCTCATCAATGAACATAGACACCCTAGTCATTGTTAGGTGAGATCCCAAGATCTTGTCACTGAGAAAAACCCAGCTACAGAGTTCTACGTTGCTGTGGAAACCTACACGTGAGAGAGCATCCTTCCCCATCATTCTTTAATTTCTAAATTTGTCAGTTCCCCTCCCCTTCCCTACCATACACTCCTTAAAAGCAGAGAGACTAAGTCTTACTCCTCTTTGAACATCACTCCAGAGGAGGTCTCCAATAAGCATTAATGGAACAAAATAAAAGCCAATAGACCTGAAAATGATTGTCAAATGACATTCTGAGGCATTCTAGATTTAGCCCACTGGTTCTCAAACAGAGCATTTTGCCCCTTGGGATATTTTGACAATGTTTGGAGACATTTTTGGTTGTTGCAACTGGAGTGGGGGGAGAGGGTTGCTATTGGAATCCAGTGGGTGGAGACCAGGAATTCTGCCAAACATTCTACAATGCACAGATGAGGACAGTCCCCCAAACAAAAATTACCCAGCCCAAAATGTCAACAGTGCCAAGGTAGTCCTTTTCAAAACTCAGTGTGATCATATCACTCTTTAGTTTAAACCCTTAGGGGTTTTTCATTGCTCTTAGAATAAAAACTAGACCCTGATCTAGCCTGAAGTTGTTACCAACTAAGAAAGGAAATGCATTTCAATTCTTCTGGTCCCTTTTGCCTTGTTTGCTTCACAAAGAGACTGATTGGCTTTAAAGGAGTTTAATTTTATAACAACTATCCTTTTATCTATTTCTTTTCATTTTGCCTCTTTCCTCTAATTACAAATTCCAAAGAGTGGCACATACTGATTATTAGGAAGTCTTATCATTTAATGTGAATTCACCTCGTGTTCAGATAGTCACACTAATGAACCATTCATAAATACCAATGAACCTCATTGGTTCAGTTTGCTCAATAAATCTCTCCAGAAAAACCCGCCCCCCCACACCACTCCCCATGTTTGCCTCAGCTAAGATTTACTAGCTTGACTATGGAAGTGTGGCCTCCCATTACACGACTTCATTGTTTCTAAAAATATAACATATTTACTAGCACACTATGAAATAGTGTCATTAATAATTAAAGCAAAGCAGCAAGATGAAGTACAGCACACTTAATTTTAAATTGTTTATTTACTTACTGATTTGCAAAATGAGATCGAGTTTAATGCATCTCTGATTATTACTGTGAATTAAGGAGATCCTACTGTATTCCAAATGAGTTTTGAATATAAAATTCTTTTTTGTCTCAAAATCATTTCTGGAGCAACATTTGCAAATGGAATTCATGATCTGCCCTTTAAACTTGGTCCTTTCCCAGTGTTCCTACTGACTGAATGGCACAGTCAGCACGTGTCTATATAAACCTGAAATCTGAGAGGCATCTTCACCCTCCCACCCCATCACCTTTACAGACCTACCATTTGGACTTCCCATTTCTCAGAGAACCACCTGCCCCCTTCCCCACTGCCCCATGGGCTCTGCTACCTCCATCTTAGCCCAAGCTACTAACTTCCTGCGTAGACTGCTGCAATAGCTTCCTAACCACTCTCACCTTTCTCACCTTGCCTTTCTCTAGTATATCTTTGGCACTGCAGCTAGAATGATGCTTTTCAAAATCTGGTCCTGGTCATACCCCTTTAGTTTAAAACATTTCAGGGGTTTTCTATTGATCTTAGGATAAAAAATACCCTTGTCTACTTCTTTCATCTCTCTTTCCACCATTCTAGTTCTCTCTGCTTCCTCTAGGTCCCTAAAAGTCATATTCCCCCTCACCACAGGACCTTAGCACATGCTGTTCCCTTAGTTTCCATGTTCCCGCCTTTCTGACCACCCCAGTCAGGTCCTCCTGTCATACACTTTTACAGAACTATATAACTTTCCTTCATCACCATATGTTACACTTTAAAATGATACTATTTCCCTGATTGATCTAATGTTCATTCTCCCACTAGTCTGTAGGATCCAAAAGAGAAAAGATTGTGTTTTTCCTCACCATTGAATTCCCAATACCCAACATAGTTAAGAGAGTGAATAAAGTGCAAAGAATGTGAATAAATTCCAAAAAAAGAGGAGAGAATATTTTCAAGGAAGAACTATATTTTGTGCATAATATCAAATACAGGTATCAGCTAATTCCAAACTAGACAGTGTGAAGTAGACATCAGCACTCAATCCAGGTCCTGAATAAAATGTGTAAGTAGAAGTACAAGAGTTAATCTAACACACACACACACACACACACACACACACACACAATTTCTTCTTCCCACAGCCCTGTGGGGTCAAGTATCTTAGATGACTCACTCTTCCTGGGGTAGCCCCTGGTTGAGCCTCTTTTATGTTGTCAAACACAGAGAAAATTACTTATGAGACATTAGAAAAGATGCTTAACTTCTGAGTCTCTCAGTTTTTAAAACTCTAAAAGGTGGTTAATTTGTCAACCAACTAGAATTTTTTTCTTAGATATAACCAATAAAAATTAGTCCTAGAAAGTTGACAGACAATAAGTAATGTTTAATGGGACATGATATATTGAAAGTCATTCAGAATAGTGAAGTGAGTAAGGTCTATCACAGTTATCACCCAATTTTCCTTCCGCAGCTTTGTTAGTTTGGGGGAACCATCCCCACTGGGCTCTCCACTCCTCTCAGCAACAATCCTCCTAGTACTAGCTTTTCTAATAATCTGACAAACCTACCTATTCCCAGGTGTAGGTGAGAGACGAAGCAATCTCAGAACTATCTCCCTTGACCACGTAGAGTGTTAAGGCAAAGGAGTGAAACACTCCAGTGGTGGAATTTTAGCTACTGATGTTCAGGGAAAGGCACTGTGGCTGGGGAGATGATCGTGGTGACGTGACACCACGCCTGGTAAACGGTCACCTACTCACGAAGCCTGCTATGATGACATTCTTAGTAATCGAACCCTCTGATTGAGTTGAAGACAGAGTTGTGGAACTATGACTGTTGGAGTAACTGGGCAAATACTGGCTGCACATTAGTATTCTTTTTTTTTTTTTTTCTTTTTGTCTTTTTTCATGACCGGCAACGGATCACAACCCTCAGTGTCGTGCCCGTACCGGACCGGGACTGGCCACGGGATCGCAACCCTCGGTGTTGCTCCCGCCCCTCGCTCAGCCAGTGAGCGGGAACCGGCCTGTATGTGGGATCCGAACCCTCGGCGGGAGCGCCACCACACTTCCCAAGCGGCGCACTATAGCAGTGCGCCACCGGGCCGGCCCTGCACATTAGTATTCTAATGGAGGAAGCTTTACAAAAATTACTGATGCCTGGATCCCCTGTAGATTGGTTAAATCAGAATCTTCAGGCTGTCACCTGCACCTTGACATTTTTAAAAAGCTCAACTGCTGATTCTAAATATTTGACTGGGGCTGAGAACTGCTAATCTAGCTGTGAATTATCAATAAATATTTTTTTATAACTCTAAGCTACATCAGAGTGTTTTCATCATGCTCCAGAGCTGGCCTCAGAAGGCCCCTCAACTCTCATGTATGTGTTTGTGCTCGACTCCATGCCCCCTTCTACCCCTTGCAAAGCAAGCATTCAGTTGCTCTTTTGCCCTGGTTTTGCTCCACCATCTGTGCCACTGAGGCCAGGTTTACACAGGTGGAAATATAGAATGGAGCTAGGCTGTGTGGATAAGAAAAGTTTCGGAGAGGAATAAATAGCAAAGATCTGAACGAAAAACAACTATGTGGGTTTCTAAGAATTATTTCTCTAATGCCAAAAAAATTGAGTTGTCATTAACTTCCTTAAAATATCCTTTTATATATGGAAGGAAGTATAAGTAACCAGAACAACTGTGCTCATGCTTTTACATTGCACAATATCTGTCCCGGAAACGTGATTCTGAGACAAGATACGCATTCCTTCGTGCCTGTTCCCTATAGACCACTCCAGGATGTGTCAGTTCTAACAGTTGTGAAAAACTAATTGACACATATAGGAATGAACTAAAAGTGGATCAACAACCTAAATATAAGAGCTAAAGCCATAAAACTCTTAGAAGAGGGGGTAAATCTTCATGACCCTGGTTTGGCAACGAATCCTTGGGTATGATATCAAAAGCATAAGCAACAAAAGAAAAAAACAGATAAACTGGGTTTCATCAAAATTAAAAACTTTTATACATCAAAGGACATTATCAAGAAAGTTAAAAGACAACCTGTGGATTGAGGGAAAATATTTGTAAACTGTAGATATGATAGGAGTTTAATATCCAAAATATATAAAGAATCCTATAACTCAACAATAAATAGCACAGCTAAAAAATGGACAAAGAGCATTATTCAGCCATTAAAAGGAAGGAAGTTTTGATATATGCTAAAACATGGGTGAACCTTGAAAACATCATGCTAAGTGAAATTAGACAAGGACAAATAAACACAAGGACAGATATTATATGAGTTCATTTATATGAAATATCAAGAACAGTCACATTAATAGAGATAGAATATAGATTAGAGGTTACCAGGGGCTGGATGGAGGGGGGATGGGGAGTTATTGCTTAATGGTCATAGAATTTCTCTTTGGGATGATGAGAAAATTTGGAAATAGAGATGATGGTCCTACAACATTGTGCATGTAATTAGTACCACTAAATTGTGCACTTAACAAAGGTAAAAATGGCAAATTTTATGTTGTATATTTACAACAATAAAAATGCTTTAAAAGAAGTAATTGTCAAAGGTTTTAATAGAAGACAGAAATACTCAAGGTCTTAATGAATATTAGCTACAAGTTTCTCATACTGAAATGTAAAAATCATTTACAACTGGTAGAAAGATTTTGTAGTTTGAGGAAACAGGAAGTAGAAAGTATCAACTATTAAATATAGTGTACCTTAATACTATAGTAAAGTTTTAGAGTACTATATATTATTCTAGAAAATATCTCACAGGCTGAATGTATCATGTGGCTAAGCTTGAGTGGTAATTTTTTCATTATTATTATTAAAGACTTAGTTTTTTTAGAGCAGTATTAGTTTCTCAGCAGGGTTAAGAGTCTGATAGTACAATGTCTGGTACAGACATTTCCCATATACCTCCTGCTTCCTGCCCCCAGGCATAGCCTCCCCCATTATCAACATTCCCCACCAGAGTGGTCCATTTGTTGCAAGTGATTTACCTACATTGACACATAATCATCATCCAAAGTTCATAGTTTACATTAGAGTTCACTCGTGGTGTTGGACATTCTTTGGGTTTGGACAAATGCATGATATGTATCCCACATTACAGTATCATACAGAGTATTTTCACTGCCCTAAGAATTCTCTGTGCTCTGCCTGTTCATCCCTCCCACCTCACAACCCTTGGCAACCACTGATCTTTTTGCTGTCTCCATAGTTCTGCCTTTTCCAGAATGTCATACAGTTGAAATCATACCGTATAGTAGCCTTTTTAGATTGTCTTCTTTCACTTAGCAGTATACACTTAGGTTTCCTCTTTGTCCTTTCATGGCTTGATAACTCAATTCTTTTTAGCACTGAATAATATTCCACTGTCTGGATGTGCCACAGTTGATTTACCAATTCATCTACTGAAGGATATCTTGGTTGCTTCCAAGTTTTGGCAATTATGAATAAAGGTATAAATATCCATGTGCAGGTTTTTATGTGGAGATAAGTTTTCTCCTCCTTTGGGTAAATACCAAGGAGTGTGACTGTTGAATCATATGGTAAGAGTATCTTTAGTTTTGTAAGAAACTGGCAAACTGTCTTCCACAGTGGCTGTACCATTTTGCATTCCCACCAGCAATGAGTGAGAGTTCCTGTTGCTCTACATCCTTGTCAGCATGTGGTGGTGTCAATGTCACAGATACTGGGCATTCTAATAGATTTGTAGTGGTATCTCATTGTTGTTTAAATCTGCATTTCCTGAGTGGCAATCCTTAACTTCTAATATGAAGTGTCAGGCATGGGAAAGGGGCAAGACCACCAGACAGACTCAGGGTCAGAAAACATGAGGTTAATTCTTGGCCTGACACTTATTTGCTGTGAAGTTTCAGAAAAGTCACACAATTTTATTAGCCTCAGTCTTCTTATATGTAAAAGGGGAAACTAATTCTGTATATTTTAAACATTCAGTAAAGTTAAGAAAGATATATGAAATCACCCAACAAAATCAGTTAGCTAAGAGAGGAAGCAACTCAAATGTTCATTGATGGATGAATGGATAAAGAAAACGTGGTATAAACATATAATGGGATGTTATTCAGCCTTAAAAGGAAACAAAATCCTGTCACATGCTACAATGTGGATGAGCCTTGAAAACATTACACTAAGTGAAATAAGCCAGTCGCAAAAGGACAAATACTGTATGATTCCATTTACATGAGGTATTCAAAGCAGTCAAATTCATAGAGACAGAAAATAGAATGGCAGTTGCCAGGGGCTGGAGGGGAGGCAGAACAGGGAGTTGTATAATGAGTATAAAGTTTCAGCTTTGCAAGATGAAAAGGGTCTGGAGATTAGCTGCACAACAATGTGAATGTACTTAACACTAGTGAACTGTACACTTAAAATGGTTATGATGGTAAATTCTATGTCACATGTATTTTACCACACAATTAAAAAATTTAAAAATTGGTGCCAAATATATAATAGATGATCAATAAATGTGTGTAAAATCCAAGTGACCTCATTTCACAAGTTAACAACAGAAGGAAGATTACAGAGAAGGAGAGCACGCCCTCCCAATAGAATTGAACACTTAGGTTGAAAATTGGCTGCCCATGATTAAACCACAACTTTGTATTAGCATGTGAAATTATGACACAGTTTGAGTTTTTTAATTCCCTAAGAGTTAAACAATTATAATTTGGGATGTATTTTAATTATTTCCACCTAAGGCCTAAAAAGTTATACTATAAAACATAAAGGAGTATGGGCCGGCCCGGTGGCGCACTGCTACAGTGCGCCGCTTGGGACAGCAGCGCTCCCGCCGAGGGTTCGGATCCCACATACAGACCGGCCGCTCACTGGCTGAGCGAGGTACGGGCACAACACTGAGGATTGCAATCCATTGCCGGTCACAAAAAAAGACAAAAAAAGGAAAAAAAAAAATAAAACATAAAGGAGTAAAGGAAAGTCTAGGCCTTAATCAAAGGCAGTCTCAGAAATAATAAATCACTTTTTTACAATATCCCCACTGGCAATTTTTTTTTCTTAGATTCAATTCCGAATGGAAGCACCAGCTTTATGAGACTCAAGATGACATTGTCCAAGCTAAATTATTAATCCATCCACTCACAAATGGGCAGAACTCGATGCTGGCTCCAGGAAGGGAAGACACAAGAGGAGAAGATGGAGTCAGGACCCTCGAGTTTACAGCTCATTTGGGAATAGGGCCTAGACACACTGTACATGTACACACACACATACACATGTACACATGTGTGTACATGTGGCAATCCTTAACTTCACATGCACACTTACACATGCACACACACATCACACACAATGAAACATTCGTACAGCACCATGAAGGACTGTGTCAGTTGTCTCACAACTGAGTATACAAATGGGGGTGGTGTCAGGCTGTTTTTGACAAAAACTTTTTGTTCCAAAAGGTTTGTTCCTAAATGGGAAACTTCTCAAATCTCTTGAATGTTATGGCAAAAAAATTCCAGGTCCTACAAGCAACTCATGGTTTTTAAAAGCCATCCACTTTTTGATTACTTTCTAAAATTACTGTCTACAAAACAGAAACAAAGGCAACTTTTTGAAAGGACGTTTACCTTATAATTAAAATACAGCCATCCTTTGGGACATCTTCCATGTTTTTTTGGTGTATCTTTCTCTATGACCCAAATCTGTTTTCGCTTACAAATACTAGGCATAGAAACTGAACACTCTTCAATACCCCAGAGTCCTGAAGATGAAAACAAGTTAGAAATGACTTAGAAACAATGGTGATTCTTCATAGGCACCCTCTATTGATCACTATTTTTATGACTTCTACGGTTTATCATAAATCATTTTTTTAAATCTAGAAACTGAACTAAATTTAACTACTTGATCATAGACTTCTCTAGTGACAACAGCTAACTGAGCAAGATACCAACTCAGTAATTCTAATTTAAGAATTTAAAAATTTTGCAAATGCAAAGGAAAAAATCTAAGTAAACAAATATTGCAACTGAAATCACAGAACTGATTAAAGTCCTGAGAATATTCTTATTGCAGGAGAATACTTCGTAGAGTAGTATTTCTCTTTTAAAATATTCAGCTTAATGTACAGAGAGGAAAAAAGATTCTAAAATAATAGATGATTATTTCTACTTTATAATTCTTTCAAAAATATAATAATTTAGAAAAATTAACTCAAGACCTTGTAAGAAAGTAGCATTTCTTAATACTGGCCCTTAAATTAAAAAGACTCACATATAGACATGCCCTTAGTAAGCTAAGGTATATCCTCAAGTACTTAGTCTCCTGAAAACTGGCCTTTTTTTTAAAATTTAGAAGAGCTATATTTTCAGAGTAAGGTTTATAGAATGCATTTCATTAGCATTCAAGTCGTAAATTCCAAAACAGGGCAGAATGCATGCAATTGCAAGGACAGGTTCAGTTTTTTAGTATCAAGAATACAAGCCAAAAAGATGCTGGCATTTTAAAAGAGGGGCTGGAAGGCTGTTTTCAATGCAAATTAGCTGATATTCTCCTAGACTCACAAAATAGCCCTTTTCTAGTAGGCTGTTGTGACACCTGCTGGCAAAAGCAAGCTGATTAACCACATGGTTTTTCCTTTCCTAACTCCCCACACCAAGGATTGACTTCTATGTTTACCCTCTCCTGACCTAGGGCACAGGTTAGTTATGACTCCGTTAGAGTAGGGGATGTCATTATTTTTTATTGGTTAGGAAGAGTGTGATGAGCACGAGTGGACAATCAACCCAAACAACACCGTACTGATGAAGGGAATTTAAAAACCCAGTCTTCAACTTAAATGTGCTTCTAAATCCAACTTACAAACAATTGCCATCCTGAGACAAGCAGCAATTAAAGCCAGGTATTTAAAAATAAAGTACTAGATTGAATCACAATTTTTATTGAATGGGAAAATAGAGGTAAATATCACAGAGGTTAAAGTTCTGGTCAATTATAAATCGGATACTAGATTTTTTAAAAAATGGGCCCATATTGAGATTGCATAGAGAACAGTATTTGTCAGGCATACTTTCTAAGTTTCAATAGGCCCATTTTTGGTTCTGTTTTGGTTTATGAGTAAGAGCTGAATCAGGTGTAAATTCTTTTCAAGAACATGAATACATGGATTAAACAGATGTAATGGCCATCCTTAAACCTTAAGAATGATGACATTAAACAGTCAACTGAAAAGAAAAATAACCAAACAGAATGTTTTCATTGAACTGATGCAATAAAAAGGAGACTTCAAGCCTCCTGAAAATAATCAGTTTGTATTATAAACCCAAAGATGAATAAATGAAATAACCTGTAACGGACGAAATGAAGCCACATCTCTGGCTCTGATTATTCACAAATCTTTCTTTTCCTTTGTCCCAGTTCTGGTATATTACTGGAGCTCCATCATTCCAGCTGCAGGAAAATTAAAAATTTTAAAATTTTCTCTCATTCTGCATGTTCAATCTCCAACTTTATTTTTACAGTTTTGGGGTATGGAATGAAGGTATAATATTTTATTAAATTTAAAAAACTCATATACAGCTTAGTGCCTATAGTTAAACAATGCTGTATTGTATACTTTAAAATTTTCATAGAGGGTAAATTTTATGTTAATTGTCCTTATTACAGAAATAAATAATAAATAAAGAGGGTGGGAGGAAGCTTTTGGAGGTATAGACATGTTTATGGCATAGATTGTGGCGATGGTTTCATGGGTATATACTTTAAAAAATATTCATGTCTTTGATTAGGGAAATAGAAATTTATAAGTTAAAGATAATGTTTGAAGGCTATTCAACAAATTGATTGTTAAGATCTAGTCCAATCATTCTTCAAATAAAACTTGTCAAACAAAATTAAATGCAAATTAATCTAGATTCATACAGAAATTCATCATTGGCTCCTTCCTGAAGTCCAATCCACCAATTTGCACCATACTTTGATAGCTATTAAAAGAAAAAAAAGGAAATGTCAGCATTTATTCTAGTTGTTTTCCTTTTTCACTATTAAGATTAATGGGGTTGCTGCTAATGGCTTTCTGTTCTTCAGTGTTTTACCCAATTATTTAAGAAAGAGTATGCTAAGGCCTAGCATCTTGAGAAAACCTGAAAGTCCATTATTCTAAAATATTCCCTCCTCATTATGAAAAGTTGGAATTAAACATTGAAAATAATTTAGGTTTCATACAACTTGAAAAGTAAATTTTCTGACTCTGTAAGAGAGATTTAAAAAACAATATTTTAAAGTAAAATAAAAGATGGATTCCTTTTGTGACTAAAAAATTAGTGGTTTATCCTCTCAGTGACTTATAGAAGTTCTTTGCATATGTCAATGTTTATTTGAAAAACAGTTTAAGATACAAAGACATCTGCAGCATAAAGATTTTGAATTTTTAGGTATTCGTCTGATTGTTAAGCTTTTAACAGTATTAGCACCCTCCCCATTCAAACAGAGAGACACAATACAGACAAAAGAATACCACAGAATTCCCAGTGTTCGATGTCTAGAAAATTATCCTTTATATATGTCATTAATTTACAGCATTATTAATCACTTGAACCTAAGTACAATAAAGTATATAATTTAAACAGCATGTGTATGCACGCGCGCGCGTGCACACACACACACACACACACACACACACACTCGCGTTAGAGCAGATGTAATACTGGACTTATGACCCAGGAAATTGAAGTTCCCTCTTTAACTATAAAGGAGGAAGAGGCAGTAAGGATTTCTCTAAGACCCTTAAATCAGTATACTTGTTAGTGTGTGTGCTATGTGTGTGTATGTGTCTTTTGAAATGTAACTTAATTTTTATATGCCAAACCCCTATTAATTTGAAGGCATTATGTATTTATATTTGCACTCTGATTTCTTCTGTCAAGGCTTGGGAATAAATTTTAAGATATTATTTTTCCATATGAATTTCGGGACATCATAGAACAGAACCTAATAGTGTTCTAACATTCTAATTTATAAACAAGTATTTTTACTCCTTAAACAGTGTGGCTGTCTGCCATATCAGCAATTTGAGACTAATGCAAGATGGAACAATTGTAATTTTAGATCCCTGAGGTGTTGTTTCAGGGACGTGTTCTTACATGCTGAATTTAGATTCCCATTGTCAGACTTTGGAATGGCTCCATTGAGACTGGCTGTGAACTCAGTGGGAGAACCACAACAATTTCATTCAATCTGAAGAGGGCTCATATGCAACAATAGTGGAAACCACGGCCTGACTGTTCACTGCCCCAATTAAGGACCTCTAAAGAGAAATTATAACTACTGCATCTTAAGTGGCATATTCATTACCACCTCAATTATGGCATGGTAATCTTCCACACGGCATATCATGACCTGTTGTGATATGGCACAGAACATCACAGGACAAGCTTGAAGATACCCAGATGGAAAAATCCAATGTGAAATATGGATGTTTTAGATATTAGTTGGGTATAAGGACACAACAATAGAAGCCTTATAATATGTGTTTGTATAAAGAAATGTGTTACAACCATGCATTTTATAACATCAGCTATGTGTTATACAGCCATTACAGTTAGCATCGTATGGGAAGAACACTTACCAGAAAGAAATGAAACACAGCAACAGTCAATATATTAATCTACTAAGCAATATAAGGAAAAACAACCTGTCATGTTTTAAAATGTTTCCATAAAAAATGCAAAACCAAGTTATTTTACAGGTTTACAAAAACAGATTTTGGAGGATTAATAGATTTGATATATATTTTTTAGAAGTATTTAGAAAAATTTTTTTTACATAATGGTGAATTGCCATTCCAAAAAGCAAATATTGCATAATGCAGTAAAAATTAGCCAAGGGGACTAATTGGCTGATAGTTCATGTCAAACAACACCTAAAATGCTTCTTTCCAATCTGATACCTTTTCCTGTGGGCCCCTGCTATAGACTGAATGTTTGTCGCTCCCCAACTTACATGTTGAAATCCTAACCCCCAAGGTGATTTATTAGGAGGTGGGGCCCTTGGGAGGTAGCTAGGTCATGAGGGTGGAGTCCTCATGAATGAGATTAGTGCCCTTATAAAAGGGACCCCTTGTCCCTTCCTCCATGCGAGGATATAGTGAGAAGACGGCTGTCTGTGAACCAGGAAGCAGGCCCTCACCAGACACAGAATCTGCCAGTGCCTGGATCTTGGACTTCCAGCCTCCAGAACAGTGAGAAATAAATTTCTGTTTTATAAGCCACACACTCTATGATACTCTGTTATAGCAGCCCCAAACAGACTATGACAGCCCCCTTGCCTGCCTCTTTCTCAGTCTCCACATCCTACACCCTGTAATAATTTTCTTTTGTAGCACAGTGGGGTATTAGATCAGTCAGCAGCTCACCCAGAACACTGACAGGGTGTTCTATATTAACATGGTCATAGGCTGGGTAACAATTTTGCCATATAGGGCACCTCAAGATTTGTCTGATTTGAGATCAGAGTCCTCTTCTACTAGATCATGGCACTGGTCACAACTTTTTAAACTACTAAACTCATGGGGTCTTTCTATTCCTTTCTATGGGAAGTATTAATTCTGCCATGCCACTGGCTTCTCAATTCCCAGAGATTAGGAGATGAATTAAGAGGAAAGGTGAAGATAGAAGACATACAGAGGTTCCCAGCAGAGCTAAGCTCTGTTGGAAAAAGCAAAGAAGCTCTTCACTATTGACATCTGAGACAGAGCTGGTAGCCATCTTTTGGGGAGAAATTTTATTTTATTTTTGGTTGTTGGCTGGTACAGGGATCTGAACTCATGACCTTGGCATTACCTAGGGAGGGATTTTAGAACTAGCATTTTAACATAATGAAGATATTGTGCTCTTATATGCACCAGGACTGCTGTTCTGCTGTCATAGGCTGTACCACATAGGGTTTTTAAATGATCTTGCAAGTCAGATGATCTGGGCACCTTTCCTAATTCTACCTATTAGCTGCAGTGTAACCAAGTTGCTTAACTTCTTTGGAGTCTCGGCTTCCTTATCTGTAAAATGTACTAATAATAGACTTCCCTCAGAGGGTTCTTGAAAACATTAAGTGGGATTAAATGTTTTTTTTGTTTTTTTTTTGTGACCGGTAAGGGGATCGGAACCCTTGGCTTGGTGTCGCCCGCACCGCGCACCGGCCATCCCTATATAGGATCCAAACCCACAGCGGGAGCGCTGCTACACTCCCAGCACTGCACTCTCCCGAGTGAGCCACGGGGTCTGCCCTGGCATTAAATGTTAGTATTTATTTTCCTCCATGCATTTATCCATTTACCTTTTTCTAATATATTATGTAATTCTATTTACATATATTGATTATGGTCTTTCTTCCCAGACTAGACTATAAACTCCATGAGGGCAGGAACTTTGGTCTGTTTTAATCACTGGTAGAACCCTAGTCCCTAGAAGAATAAATGTGTTGAATGAGCGAATGAACCTCACAAAACAATAAAACTCTGCTTACTCACAATTGTTGCTAATAAAGAATAAAGAGAAGTGAAATGATTGAGCATTTTAGTAAACCTGTATCTCCATTATTCTTTCTTAATCTCTATATCAGGAAAAAAAACAATTCTCAAAAATCTGTGGCTTTTACTGAAACTTAAATATATGAAGTCAAATTAAAAAAAAAAATTCCCCCCAAGGACAGAAGAATTTTTCATGCTGGACTGTATTCAAGTACCGCTTTTATTCTGCTGTGGATGAATTCTTGCTCATGTGCAGAATGAATTGTGAGAAGATCACTGTGCAGCCAGCCACAGACAAACTCAAAGGAGGACCATTCAGAAGCGTAGGTATGAAAAAGGTACTCTGCATCCTGATAGAAGAGCCAGGGCACATCTGAAAGAAAAATAAACAATGCAAATGATGCCAGAACTATTGAGAGATATAATGCAGACTTAAAAAGGTAGATATATATGAATACACACACATACGCATAAGCACACAAAGAGATAATTTGCTTATTTTCCTTGGTCTACCTCATATAAGAAAACTTCACTAATATTCAAAGGTCAGGGATAGACACATATTTTAAAATCATGTGTCATGAACATGGAACTAAGCTATATTAGTCTTCAATCATATTCAATAACTATTAATTTGATTGTTTATTATTAATTAATTTTTCTGAACAAATTAGTTCTAGATTGACACAGGAAAGAGAGGCTTGGTTGGAGGAATGTAATAATACAGTAATGGTATATAATAGCCTATATATGGTATATAATTAGAAATTCAAGAACTGCCTGGAAAGTTCTTACCATACTGGTACCAGGATGGAATCTTGGGTCTCACATCTGCAAAGTAAAAGCAAACCACCTTGACTGATCTTTCTTCACAGGTGCATTGTCTCTGAATTATGTCAGCTCTAAACACACTATTTTGTACTTCACCTTAAAAAAACCATTTAAAAAACAGGTACTTTGTTCTGTTTGGAATTTATGGTTAGTTCTCATACTTGAAGAGGAGGCTCCAGAGAGGCTTCTGATTAAAGAAGGTAGGACATGAACACTTGTTGAGGGCCTACTATGTGTCATGCACTGTGCTAGGTGCTTTCACTTACTCACTTTACAAATCATTCTGTTTGCTTGTAATGTCAGACTGAATTTGCACAATAAAATATTCCACAATATTAGCTGGTTACTCTCATTCAATGAACTAACTTGTCATATTACACTGGTGTCATCTTTTCCCATTTCCCTATGATACATTTTTTGCAAAAATAGTACAATTTGGTTCATAATGCAGGTTGCTGATATTGTGGTATGGGGAGCTTAAATTTTAGATCTCTGTAACTCTTCACTTGGGAAAGTGCTAGAGATTATTAGAAATCAAACACATAGTAAAGATCTTATGAATATCTGTACCTCTTGGAATTTTGCATATCCATTCGCGTTTGAAACCACAGTGCAATGGCAGCAATGTTTTGTTTGTCTTATATGTCGCACAGTTTCTTGTATCTTCTCCAAAATAAGTATTGTCTAAAAATGAAGAGACAACCTGCAGCAGATGAAGTTCATTATTCCTTAATGGTGATCCCCCACGAAAAATTTCAAAAGATCAAAAAAGGCATCCCCATACATAATCATTACAGACTTCTAGAGGAAGCTTCAGAAATGCCACATTTGTGAAGAATAAGCTAATTAATATGCAGCATTTTCTTCTTAAAGATGTTTTTTCTTAAAAAGAGGCACACTACTCTTTTCTCCAGAAGAAATAAATCAGATGCAAGCTTCGTTCTAAACTGTTTTCTAACTGGCAAGATTAGTCAAGCCCTGGGATACTGTGTAAACTTCTTAGAAGCTCAGGGACGTGCCAGAACTGGGTATTATCTGTGATGTCAGTTCTTCTGCATATATGCTAAGCTTTTAGTCTCTAATAACTAAATTATAAGCCACAGCTAGCTTTAATCGGGAAACTCTCCAATGCTTTCCATGAGTGACCATATAACTCACATAATTCACAAAACGGGGGTATAAAATAAAGTTCAACCTTCTCAACTATTTAATGAGTACCCGACAGAAAGGTGGGTGGGCCACAAATAAAATTGGGGTAAATATTTGGAAAAAAGAGGATGTTTGAAACCATTTGTACTCCTCAAACATGTGTCCCATCATGCAACAATTCATCTAATTTAAATATACATACATCCTCACATTCAGAGAATGACATGAGTTTGAATTCATTTTGTCCAATGGGGAGTAGAAAGAACTTAGTCCACTGCTTCATGGCCTTACCTCATTTATTCTGAACAAAAGTATCTATTCCTATCCTATTACTAGTGAGTTTGTTTTACTAAAACAAAATGAAGTGTTCTCAACCTCTATGAAAAACTATTTTTGTTTTTCAACTGCTATGTTGACTTTAACCACCCAACTGTGCCGTGTTGTGGCTGCCATTTATGGGGCGAGTTGACCCTGCTAAGCCTCTTCTGTTTTCTGAGCCTTCGTTTTTTCATCAGTAAAACAGGTGAGTGGGGCTGAGTGAGCTCTAAGATTTCTTCCTGCTCTCTGATCCTGATACTCTTTTCAAAGAAACAGTATTAAAGTGGAAATGTTATTATTATCATCATCATTATTTTTGAACCCACTAGAAGTATATACCTTTTTTTAAATAAATCCCTTTTGCCACAATTTTGGACACCATCTATGTAGTGGGCTTGTCTCCGTTGGTTTTTACTATTTCAAAGCTTGGCTGATGATATTTAGTCAAGTGGGAGATATTATAACATGGCTTTGGAGTTAGAAAACCTGTGTGCAGATCCTGACTCTCTTACGTATTATTTTATTTTTAATCCCCACTGCACTGAGTTATTGTATGAAAAGAGATCATGTAGAAGTGCATTCAGCTCAGTGAGGGTAACATCGTGATGATCACTGCAGGCTCTTACTAGTCTCCCATTTCCCAGGTGAAACTGAATAACTTGACTTTGCATGTGCCCTAGGATGGATCCCATTTCAACCTGGGATACTGCTTCATTTTTTCCCCTGTCATCCTGAGGAAAATGTGAGAATTCCTCACTGCACCTGAAAAAAATGCAACAGTGAGTTCTCACTCTCCTTTACGAGATATGCGAATACGAGGCTGATGAAAAGCAAGACTTTCGTTCCTTCTGGAACAACTTGATCTGGTCGAGACGATGGTATTTCTAAGGGTGACATTTCTGTCCTTTTAGAGTGAGATAAACTGAAAATAGTCTCCTTTTTCATTGCGACATGGGCAAGGATCCCATACGCACACAATCAGGGACTAAGCAGAAAGAGTAAGGTAAAGGAAGCCTGGCATTATTTTTAAAATAACTGCTTCCCTGCCAGAGAGACTCTTCACATGGAACATGGTCTGGGGGTAATTTTTGGAGATTTTGATTCCTTTTCAGGGCGAGATTCTACAGTGGCCTCAGAACAATGTGACTAGCAAAGGTTTCCCAGAACCTTGCCAAACTAATTCTGGTATCAAGGTCTCATGCAGTTTTGTCATGGGAGATAATTATTTCTAGGTTCTCTTGGTTGATTTACCAAGTGGTTCCAGGGCTACTTGTTTTGAATTCATCTCCCTTTCTCCAGTTTGGAAAGACTTACAGGAGTTCCATCAGACCACTCCCAAGATCCAGCATTCAGTGGGTTTCTTTTATTAAATCCAATCCAGAACTGCCTTTCTTCTGTCCTATGAAGGGAAGAAACAAAAGCTTTGCATTTCCCATCAAATTCACAACTTATGTTAAAGGTTCTAAAATTATTTTAAAATATTTATGTGTGCCAGAAACAGCTGATGCTACTGGCAGGATTGATCAAGTCAACAAATATTTACTGAACATTTTTTATGTGCAAAACCCTGTGCTATGAAATAGCTGAACGTAGATTTAGCCTCACATCCCATTTCTCTTGGTTTGTGTGGTGTGCTCACTAGTGATGTGCAGTTGGAGACAGTCAGCCCATACTGAGAACATGGGTTTCTCATCAAGAATTGCAATGCCAAGACCTGGAAGTGGATTGTGTAGCGTGAAAGTCACGCTGTGCTGCGGATGGTACTTCCAATCAAGATGGCAGAATAGACAGTCCCCCGTGTCACCCTCTCTCACAATCAACCAATTTACAACTATTAAAAAGCAACGAATGCCAAGCTGGGGCTTCTGGAGCTGAGGGGAAGAGGAGGAGAGACCTACAGAGTTCATGAAGGTGGGAGAAGCCATGATGAGAGAAAGGACCGCTCCGACAATTTCAGGCCCCAGCCACTTCAAGGCTGGGCCTGGTGAGTGCACGGAGCAAGAGTTGGCAAAAGCCGCAGCTGCGCCCTTTGTATGAAGTTGCTTGGAGGCTGCAGGGAAGAAGGTGGCCTCTGGGCCAGCAAGACCACTAACAGGGTTCCCGTGGACCCACATAGGAGCAAGGAGTCACAGACAATGGAAAAAAGGAGCCACTCAGAGGCCGGTGAGTCATCGTAAGGGACCAGAGCATGCCCCGTCCCATGGTAAGTGTTTGGAGTGCAAGTGGTGGGGGAGACGGGCAATGGGGGGAACACTGGGGCACAGCATGGACAGCTGATCTGCCCTCCAATCAGCACAGAACCACTCAGTTGAGACTGGTCAGGAATATTGACCTGCAGGAGTGCAGTTTGCTGAAAAGACTCAGGCTCACACCAGAGTTTCCATACAACCCAGGTGTACTGGACCTCACAAGACCCAAAAGTGCTTACAAGGTCAACAATTTTTTTTTTTTCCCTTTTTGTCTTTTTTCGTGTCTGGCAACGGATTGCAACCCTCAGTGTCGTGCCCGTACCGGACCGGGACCGGCAACGGGATCGCAACCCTCGGTGCCGCGCCCGCACCTCGCTCAGCCAGTGAGCGGGAACCGGTCTGTATGTGGGATCCGAACCCTCGACAGGAGCGCCACCACGCTCCCAAGCGGACTGGGAGCGCACTGCACTGTAGCAGTGCACCACCGGGCCGGCCCATTTTTTTTTTTTTTTACAAGGTCAACAATTTTTTTTTTTCCCTTTTTGTCTTTTTTCGTGTCTGGCAACGGATTGCAACCCTCAGTGTCGTGCCCGTACCGGACCGGGACCGGCAACGGGATCGCAACCCTCGGTGCCGCGCAATTAAAACCTAAACTGCACAGAAAGCCTTCCCCAGGGAATCAGCAGCAAAACAGCAATTTAGCTCAACCACGGGGCTCAAGTGCTGGTTCGCACAGGAAGTTCCCCCATTTTAGAAGTAAGCAAAGGATAACAAATTAGTTCCAGTGCAGAGTTTCAGTGGTGGGAATAGCAAATAATCCAGCACAGAACTCTAAGAAAAAACAAAAAAGCCACAGATCAGAGACAAAGTTCTGATATTAACCAGTAAAGGTCTAACAAAAACTGGTAAAGATCTAACCACAGAACACCTATAAAACCTAGAAGGACTGAAAGTCCCCCAGGCTCCCAAGGTGGGGTGGAGGGACGGCCAAGGGCCTCAGCCATGCCCCCCTGATGTCCACATCCAGCCCAGCAAGGACCAACAGGCCACCACTGGGAGCATCCCAGTTCCCCTGAACTGGGGTGGGGAGGCTGAGGGCCTCAGCCATGCCCCCCCAAAGTCTGTGTCCAGCCCAGCCATGACCAAGCTGCCGCTGGAAGCCCCTGGGCTTCCCTGCTGGAATGAGGGGGGTGCCATGGGCCTTGACCACACCTTTGCTCCCTCTTTCTACTCCTCCCACCTATCCTCTCCCCCTTCCCTGCTCCCCCTACCCTGCAATTGCTCCACAACATCTTAGAATGTAAAAAAAATAAAAAAATAAAAAATAATGGCAATGCCTTTCAATCAGGACAAGAATACATGAAAGCAAGGTGGTAAGAAATTTTGGAACATCTCTTCCCTAGAGGACTTTTTACTACTTTACTATACTATTTATATTACTTTACTGTGCTTTGATTTGTTGCTCTTTTGACAAGCGTTCATGTGTATTTTCTGAAAGTTAATTACCATCATCCCCATTTAATGAAAGGTACACAGTAGGTTTTGAGTTTTTTTCAGATCCTAACATAAACAATTCTATAGCAGATCAGCCTGAGCCGTAGTAGATTGACTTCAGTAACCAACTTCACCGCTGGTTACACTTTGCAAAAAGCTCCACAGAAAATGATCTTCCCTCCTATTAGGCAGAGTACAAATACGTCAAACCACAGAGTACTCAATAAATCAAGCGATAAAGCCTAATTGTACCATGAACCATATCACTAAGATAATTTTCTGAGAGTAATTTTGAAGAATTAAAGATTTAAAAGATTCAGAAGTCATGACACATGCTTTATTTTCCTTAGTGCAGAGAAGCAAGCCTATTCTGAATCATTTATCCTCAGATATTTGATCTACTCTGCCTGAACGATACAAATTCAAGTCAAACGCAACTTAGAAAATCCGAGAGATCACTGGTGCCCGGTTGGTCACTGTCATGATGACACTTTACATTTAAGGCTGGGAGAAGGTGAGAGTGGTTGCCTTTAGATTAAGACAGGCACATTAATCTCCCTGGCATATGCTGGAAATCCACATCACTCTTCCTGTGTTGTGAACTTTGTATGTCCTTCCTCACTGAACTCAGAGTTCTATGTTTTTCCTGCTACATACTGGCTCCTAGAAGATGAATTGGAATTTATTTTCTCTCCTTCAATTTCCTAAAATTGTATAATTAAGAAAATGCACATATGTACATGTGTGTGTGTGGTTAATGAAATAGAAGTAGAAAAGCAGTGCCACAGGAAGGAGAGGAAGCACACGTGCTAACTATGAGACATGGTATGCTTGCTATAGGTAAGCATCAGATTTGACCGAACGCCCTGGTAGTCTGGACAAAAAATAAGACATATATTACATAGCTTTTGTGATTAGATGCTGAAGATCAATAATTTGATAGACACTTGGCACTAAATTTTACTAGAAATTTCAAGTATGAGAACCTATGTAAATAGAAACGATCCAGTGACCTTTGATCTTAAAGCAAACTGGGAAGCATTTTGCATGTGGCTGTGTCATATAGCGAACCTTGCTAAAATTTAAGGGCAGAATGTGCAAGGATGTTTTGCAAGGGGCTAAAGTAATGAAGCAGGGTATGATGTAGAACAATGGAGACTCTACCTATCCCTTGATCTGTGGCTCCACGGCTGGCTAATAATCCAACCAACCAGGAAGCTTCTTAAACTTTCCTTCAGCCTCAGAGAGTCTGATTCAGCAGCTTTGGTGAGAGACCAGAAAGCTCTGTGTTAAAAGGTGTCCTGCCCAGGTTGAAGATCAGCCTTGGTTCCAGATCCATAGCCCTCAGGTCAGCATTTCCTGTAAGGACTAGCAGTTCTGTGGGATAATAATATGTGTTCTCAAAAAGGGTTTTGTGGTGAAAGAAAGTGCTTCCTTCTAGAAGCCTTTATAATGGAAATGTACATGGCAAATCTCCAAGATTGTACACTGTTTTGCAGACATGAAATCCCCCCTTTTCCCCACAGAATATTCCATGAGACTCACATTGGGAGATATTGTCAAAAACTCCCAACTTAAAGGTCATTTCTGTAGATGTTAAAGATGAATAATTTGATAGACGTTATATATTAATTGCTTTATGGAAGTGTCCTACAAGGAAACTTATGGGGAAGGCCAGGATTTTCCTCAAAAAATAGTACCGTATTTTCTCTGGAACTCAGGCAAACGTTTTATTGAGACTCCAGATCTACATTTTACTAGAAAGTTGATCTTTGAAACCAGCCTTCAATAATGGAATGAACTATCTCCCAAGTAAGGAGCATTCTGACTCTGGAAGAAATTATGCACACAATAGATAATGTGGTGGAAGGAATTTCTGCATCGGAGGGGAGGTAGCACAAGATGTCTTAGATTTCTTTTTAAACTTAATTGAGTCTCTAACTCCATGGAATTCAAGATTCTATAAACTTGCAAGATGTGACAAAGATAAGTGAACACCTACTTTCTAAAGTGTAAAATTAGGGAGTTGGACTGGAATTTTTTTAAATCAGTGGAACACTTTTTTTCCCCCAAAAAACGTCTTACATGGACTCCTATTATATAAAAAATAATTTGCAGTGGAGCTGGTTGGAGCTGCTCTGGCGAATCAGCTGGGCAAGAAACCGGGAGCTCTGCCCACTTGTCCCTCCCACTCCTGGAGTTCCAGGACCCTCAGGATGTCCAGACAATACTTTGAACAACACTAGGGTAGGTAATTTCTGAGTTCAGCAACAAAGCTCTAAAATTCTGATTTGAGGCACACAGAAAAGACTTCAAATATCAAAACAATGGTCACTTTGTTCTTTGTTTTATGTTATGGAATGAGAACTTGGTGCAATATAAATATAAAGCCATATGTATATATATTTTTCTTTTACAATTAGTGGCTAGTTGGTTTTAGGCTTAAAGCAAACACTAGAATTTTAAACAACTATTTTGGTACTCACCCCTAAGAAGCCGTTACTGGGATGTGGAATATTCAACAGTAATTTTTCAAAATTAACAAGTATTTACCAATTAAATTTTGAATGTAAAAGCTTATTCACAAAATTCTCTTCCTCAATATGGGCAAAGCTTGCAAGATGAGCTCCAAATTCTTCACAAAACTCTTCAGCTTCTCTCCATGATCTTTTCATCAGGACTTTTTCACTGTGAAATACCTGAATAGTAAAAGAAAAAAAGTAACACTATCATGGATACGGTGAGGCTGTTTGATTCTGCTCAAGAAAATAACAGTAATATAACTGTCATTATTCTGAATTAAAAGCTTGACCTAGTGGGAGTAAATAATATTTATTGAGCCAGAATGTGCCTAGTCATCACAAGACTGTTGGCCCATTTTATCCTCACAACAAATTCAGGAGGAGGACATAATAAACTCACTTTTATAAATGAGCTCCTTAAAGGGCTTTCTTTCCCCTAAATCTTTTGTGACTGGCATATACTTGTCCCTCAATAAATGTCTGTCCAGAGATGAGGAAAGCCAGGCTAAGAGAAGTTAAGAATTTCAGGTCACTCGGCTACAAACTGGTTGAGCTAGGATTAGACCCAGGACTTTCTGCTTCCTAAGTCCACATTTCCATCCCACCAGATTGCCTTCTGACAAAATAGAACTACTGAATGATCATGAATCTGGCTAACCCACGAAATGAGAAGTTTTCTAGACCTGGGGTCTAGGGCAGGTATATTCTAGGGTCTTTGGGTCTTAGCTGAACTGGCAGGTGCAGTGGTTCAGCTGTTCTCTAAATTCTCTGCTGTATTTCACCTGTCCTCACAGTAGCAGGAAGAAGTCAGCTGAATAAAGTGTCTGCTTTTGGTTTTACTTAAGATTGGGGTGAGGGACTGAAGACCCAGCGCTCCTCATCCTGGGTCTCGGCAACCTCCTCATTTTTTACTGCCTAGCATTAAGCCTGATTCTCTGATGCCAGGCAGGTGCACCCTGCAGCCAGCCCTCCAATTTGCTGAGACCAGAATCAATAGCTTTCCAAATCCTGTGGAACACAGCACAACCTTTCCATCTTTTAAATTATGTGTCAAAACTCGCTTCCTCTGGGAACCTCTTCCCGAATCACTCTAAATCCTACTACCATGCCCATAAAACATGCCATGCATTTGTTGAGATAGTAGGGTGATATATAGTAGAAAAAGCACTGGACCAGGAGTCCCAAGACCAGGGATTTATTCCAACAGTCAATAAATAATTGTTATCTTGGGCAAATCACTTCATCTCACTGGCCTCAGTTTACTCATTTCTAAGGTATAACTTATTGCTCTGTAAGGTCACTTCTGGGCCTGTTACTCTAAGAGTTTAATGTAGGATTATACATATGTACAATTTAAATTAAGTGCATTCACAGGTGTTTTATGCCATCTATGAGCTGCAACAGCTCTGGACATAGAGTCTACACGTGCCAGCTGCTGGAGAACTTTCTCCCAAAATTTGGTGAATCTCTATTTGTAAAAGGAATGAAGACAAAACCATCAAACATAAAAATATCATATTTCAAAAAATGTATTTCTAAGATTGTAGGAACTGATTTAAATCTAGGATCTAAAACTGATTTGCAAATAGACATTTCTTCACAGGTTTTTACACACATGCACACACACATACATATCTATATGTATTTATCTATTTGATCTTCAGGTGTCTGGAAAGCTGCAAAAGCTATCCTCTGTAGCAGAAGTGTATTATTCCGTAACAAGGACTTTATTCACTGGCTTACAAGCAACATGGAATTGCACTATTTTAATACCCAGTGAGTTTCTGCCTCCTTCCCTTGGTACATGCTTGGCAATAAGAACAATATTGACTGGTGCCTTGATACTGTGGGAGAATAGGTCCCCAACTGACCTTTACATATCCAGCTCTTCCCTTCTCTTGCTTGCAATTCACAGCCGGAATTCACTGAGAATGCAATATTCTGAGATAAGGAGGAACTGTCCTTGACTCTCTAGAACAAGATGTCCTGCAACACTTTAGCCCAGTGACTCCAGTTGCGCCTGGGCTGTAAAACTCAGAGAGGGGTTCCTCAGTTTTTGGAGTTCCTCAGTTGTGGTGCAAAATGGGGCATGCGCAGACAATACTCTGTCTCCCTGGGCAGCTTTCCTGAGCCTTGGGGAACCGGCTTGCCATGAATCCTACGTTTCTCTTGCTTCTTGCTGCCTATCTGTGAATAATAAAGTTGCTTTGCCTGACTTTTGTGAGTGTCTGTCTCACTGGACTCATACTCTGGCAGCTGGGTTTGTGCAAAACCTCCTTCCAGAACTAGGAACCTTGGCAGAAACTGGTGTCTAGAGTCCTCCCCGACAACTGACAACCAGCTCATGGTGCTCCCCTCCCAGAGATTAACACCACTGTACGGTGTTTCTGCTTAACAGATATCAGTCTTTGTGAGGAAGCCCTCAGTGTCAGCAGAATATGCTAATTTTGACTTGAAAATTATTTGGAATATAACTGAAAGGATAGAGACAGGCAACAAATATTGATTAACCACTTGCTGTGTGCTAGGAACTTTTCTGGAAGAAAGGTGATGGAATAAAGGAATTTGTAATATATGGATCAAACTGAAATAATGTGGGTCCTGTTGAAAATGCCCATGTAATCTTGATATCACCTTGAAGCAACTGGCCAGACCAGGCTCTGACTCCCAGTCCAAATAGCAGGGGTGAAAGGGCCATCTCTCTTCATGCTCAGTTTTCTCCCGATTTTCGACTGGCTGCTTGCACAAAGACATTGCCTTAAAGTGTCTACAGTCCTTCACTTCCCAGCGACCAAGTGGGCTCTTTCCTCTCATGGCAACACAGCCACCACTGTAGCCTACAAGCAGAAAACAAACACTTTTAATACCAGAGGACAAAAATGTTTTGTGCTCAGAAGATAGCTCTGTAGAATGCTGACTAATTGACATCTTATAATGAAGCACCCAGACAAGAACAATTAAGATGGAAAAGAATGCTTTATTGGCATGATTATCTCATTTCTCTTCATCTCTGGAGAAAAGAATAGAAGATGGGAAAGTTAGAGAAAGGAGACTGTGAAGACTGAAATTTGGACATTGTCTGCTTTGAGCTCACATCACAAAAGATGAGAAACTAGCTGTTTCTAAATGGCTCCAACATCTCCCCCATAGCTCCACGCTGTGCTTTGAAATCTAGCTGTGAAAGATCCACAATGAAAAATGCATAGTGCTCATCCTCTGACAACTACATTCAACAGGGGAAAATACTTACACAAATAATGGATTCAAGGTAGACTGCAAGCTGCACAACAGAAAATCAAACTGTAAACCCTGGGAGAATGGAGAGAATGAGATAAATTCTCTAAATGATGTACAGCTCTGGGGGCAGGAACAGGGGCAGACATCAGGTGTCACAGTGATGATCAGATCCTCAAGAAACTCCCAGTCCTGTGTGTGTACACACTCATGCATCAAAGGGACCCGTAAAGGTGAAAACGGCCAGTTGTAAAAGAGAAAACACATAAAAGTAAGACTCATACAGAAGAAAAGGAAGTCAATAGAGAGTTGGTCCATATAAAGGCATCAGATCCTCCATTGGCCCAGAACACCTAGTTTGTGTTAAAGATGGAGGGTTGGGGGACAGGCAAGGGAAAGAGATTACAGTATGCAACCACCCCTGCATAAATGGGGCTTTGCAGGCCTGTTAATCATAATTTTGGAATGCAGCTCACAATCTAGTGGGGTCATGAACAATAGAGGAGATGCTGCATGCTCTGTGCAATGAAGTTGAAGTGTGGAGATCCACATGGAAGCCCAAAACTTAATATGTGGAGCCTCTCTAGTTGAAAGAGGAGGGAAACTCTTCCCTGATTTCCCTATCCTTCCTTTCCCAGTGGAATCTCTAGTTACTGAAGAGCACAGGTGGGAAACCCTGGGGAAAGAACTGACTTGGAGACTGAAGTCTGGGGTTCTAGTCCCAGCACAAATATTCAATAACTCGAAACTTGGGCAGGTTAATCAATCATAATAAGCCCTGTCTAAAATATGGGGATAATAATTCGTTTTCATCTCAAAGATTTTCATGAAGATCAAATGAAATAATGCATTGAATAGCATTCTGTAAGATCTGAGGGGTTAAAAACATCCCTGAGACGTTGCTTTATTCTCATTACAGCCATTTTCATTACAAAAACTGGGATTTTGTGGCATGAGTTCTGCCTGCGTGTTCAAAGAATTTTTAAAAAGTTTGAATCAGCAGGTTTAAAATACAATGTACTTTTTTGTTTGTCTTGCATTTTGTCTCACTCTCCCACTTCGGACAATGATTAAATAGCTTTGGTTTTAGATCCATATATGTTCAACTCATCTTCATTAGTGAAGAAGGAGATGCTTGTGAACCGCTATGGAAATAAAAAGAGCTGCAGAAGTGCTATTGGTATTCTAAAGTGGTTAACTTAATGGAACGTTTGACCCAAATTTTAGAGTCTCGGCCCCAAAGAAGCAGTAAAGTGGTGTAATAAAGGGAGGCTGAGCTAGGGGAGATATAAACCAAATTTATAAAGCTGATGTCGTGGGATGCTTGCAAAGCCAAATAGCAAAGGGAGGAGTGTGGGAAAGAGCAGAGGCAGTTTTTGTCCCAGAGAAATTATTCTTAAATGTGATACTCACTTCCCATTGGAGAAGAAAGACTATGGCCTTTTTTCTAAGTGCTGCATCTCACATTTCAGGTGATTCCTCTTACCTGTTTTACCCCCAGAGCCCCTTTACTCTCTTCCTCAAACAGAAATGGGAAAACTTCCTGTCACTAAGAAATTCTAAGTCAGTATTCTAGTCTCTTCCATTTGACAAAGCTATGTAACCATATAAAATGAACTGAGCTGGGAAAGCCTTCATTTTCTCTCTCTCTAGTCAAATACTTGAAAATAAACCAAACGATTTAACCTATTTCTGGTCTGAGGGCAGGAAGGAACCGTAGCTGGGCCTTCAGTGCCTCTAGACAGTTATTTTACTCGAGTCCGTCTAGTGTTTTCCTATCCCCTGCGACAGTCCTTTCCCAGCCTCACCTCTCAAGCCCTCTACATTCCCCGTCTTCCCACTCCCTCCTTCTCTCTTTCTCTACAGAGAAAAGAGCTCTTGGGGCAGGGAAGGTCACGAGCCGTCATGGAGTGCTGTGTATCTGGCAGGCACGGTGCTAGGCATTTTACATGGTCTTTTCCCTATTTAATTTTGAAAACTTTTTGTTTTTCTGGTGTTAGTGTCTGCATTTTGCAGATGGAAAAATTAAGGCCCAGAGTTTTAGTAATTTGCCAAAAGCCATATAGTGTGGGTTTGATCCAGAAGTTGAAATCAGATTCATTTGAGTCTACTGTGAAACAATATGAAGGTACAGAGTGGGTGGGCACTCAAAAAACAGTAGTTAAAGGAACAAATGAATGAGTTCCCCTAAAATGATGCTTCTTCTTTTCCATGGCGCTCTTTCCATTTCCCTAGTTGCATTTCTCTCCCTTGTGTGGCCACAGCTTTGCCTGAAGATCTACTATCACATTTCTACCTTGTATGACAGTTACTTATATAATTATGAAAAGATATGAAAATGTCCTAAGACTGAGTTTATCCTCTTTATGTGGTGGTTCATTTCGGAACCCTGATGATCCTTAAAATGGATCAGCCTATCTAGTCGTGTCTGCTGACTGGACAGGCTTCCTAAGGCAAGTTCAAGAAAACAAATCTGACTTGCTCTACTAGGATCCTATTTTCCTTGTTATTGGCAGGAAATTTCCACTGCCTTGGAACAATCAGAGTAAACATGCCCGGGAGTTATTCCACATGAGTAAAACATGCCTCTTCTGCAGTAGTATCTGGATCTAGAAACAAAACTTTTGTCACACAGCCTGAGTTATGGTGGCTACATAGAGTGATCTCAAGTGTTTTTTTTTCTATACAGATACCTATAAAGCTCTAATATAACTTGGAAAAGCTTTTTTGAATGTTTTAACAAGTATGGACTCATTTTCTTTCACCATAGAGCAGCCTCCATTTATACTGAACCTTTAATCTAAGTACAAAGTACATTTTAGTTTCTATGCATTAGCTTCTTCCTGAATGAGAAGCTAATTTAATCATCTTTCCCTTTAATCAGTGGCAATGGTTAGTATGGATCAAAACGGTTTTTCCTGTTTCACCTGAATATTTTACTTCTTTCAAAATACCTAGGTCCATAGAGTCCCTTTGTTGTTGTTATTTTTAATAAAAATAACAGAATTTCCTAGTATTTTGAGTATGGGGGAATTTTGGCATGAAAGAAAGGAAATACAGATAAAAGACAGGTTACGTAAAAACCTTGTAGTCCTTCATTCAAATTGAAAATATCAGTTTGAACTCAAAAAGTATTTCATCTTACACACACACACACACACACACACACACACACACACACACACACACACTTCTTATATCTGTCTACCGAAATGGTCTAGAAACAATAACAAGCCTGCAAACAATGAGCAACAGTATGCCTAGATTGTGATATTGAAATAATACCCCTTCTCATCAAAAAGAACCAGGGTTCCTGGATGAAATGCATGTTTCTAGGTCTGGGGCATAAATATACATCTGGTTATATCAGATTGCAAGGACACTATCAAAGACTACTGGTGTCATATCAGAAGGATTCAGCAGATAGTCCTTGAAGAGATTCCCATTGCAAAGATGGGGCAATCTGAGCATTAAAAAGGATACTTGCAATGGACTAAGACATATCAAATATATTTAAAAATCCTTACTTCATAGTCATGCTAAAAAACAAACTCTAATTGGTCACTGTTGGAGGATGCTGATGAAAAAATAATCATTTTGAAAACTAGTAAAGGGAAAAAATGAAACATTTATTCTGTCTTTCCTATAAAAACTGTACCATGGGGTAACCAAAAAATTGGTCAAGCGGAATTCTTTCTAGAAATATCCCAGCTATAAGTGAAGAAACCCCTAGTAAACCAATAAATCTAGGCATTGGTCATCAAAGGCGGCTTATATCACAAAAAGAGAGAAAATTGGACATTATGTACCCCCAGACAGAACAGACAACTACCAAAATAAATAAATAAATAAAATCTGAATTTGATCAGGCCTGTGATTCTAACTTTTTAAAAATAAAAATGTTGATTTTATGGAAAATAAAAAAGATAAGAGTAACACATTAAACAACACAATGGGAATAGAATCAACAAAGCCCAGACTGTAGGAAAATTTATAGGATGAACAACCCATTTGCATCAACAAGCAAATTTTAAGAAAAATAAAAGATGGGGGCCAGGCAGGAAACTTACACATTGAAACAGACTTTAGGAGACCTATCAACCAGTTGCAATATGTGAACCTTATTTGGATCTTGGTTCTAACAAGCTGTAAAATACATTGTATAATATTTATAGGTCATTTAGAAATTTCAGCATTAAGTGTTTATGATGTTATGAAATTACGGTTAATTAATTTTAGGTGTGATAATTGTGTTATGTTTTTTAAAAAGGAGTCTTTATTTTCTGGAAATAATACTGAAATGCTAATGCATGAAACTATATGATGTCTAGGATTTGCTATGAAAAAATATGAGAAGGGGTAGAGGTAGAGATGAAACAAGATTGGCCATGAATTGACAACTGCTGATGCTTGGTGATGGGTATATAGCGGTTCATTATACTATTTGATAAACATAATACAACTTTGAAAGAATGGCAGAACTCTGATTCCACCACAGATTGAATATTTTTGCTGGTATGATATAAGAACAGAGTCTTGCCCGAGTTTATAAAAAGCTGCAGGCTTCCTGTTCAGTGGTCAATTCACATAGTCAGTCTATACT